GTAATACCTCTGTAATTTTTTTAGTTTAGTCGGTAGCCGCAGATCCTGGAAAACAGGCTTACTTGCCAGCCAACAGCCAGCACTTTCCACGTTTCTTGACATGAAGGCGGCATTTGACTCTGTCGACCGTGAATTGTTGTAGCAGTATCTAACTGTGAAGAAAGTACCAAGCAAGCCTGTTATGCTAATCTACTACCTCTCTTGTGATGTGCACTGTGAGCATTTTTGGGACGTTTTCCGGAATACTGGTCAGAGTAATAACATCTTTGTCTACTGAGGAAACTACGCTGAGGTAATCGGAGAGGCATTAAACTTCAGACGGTTAGACTCATTCGGTTCTTCTGAATCATCAGCTGATAGGAAAGATGAGAATTTATCCTTGCGTTTCATTCTCATTTTAATGCGCGAAAACAACCCAAGTCACCTTCCCTAGTTTTTTCTGGATCTCGTGATATTTGATTTGCGCATATTCCTAACCCTGCAATGCGAAGTCTTAAAAGCCTCACTACCTATTTCTAAGAATAAGTGCCGCAGTCACTTCTTCCCCATTATAAGTTTCAATCCACTTTTATTAACTCATGGAGAATGGTGAGAATGGCTACTTGGAGTGGACTTTCTGTTAAACGGTGAGGTTGCCTCGTCAAATGTAGCGCTAATTTTTTCCTAAGCTCTTTTTCGAAAGAAAAAAAAACATGTTATTATCCACAGTTTAGTGTTAGCACAGACTCCTTAATAACCGGTATATCTGCGAGTCATACATTCCGTATACGGGGAACGGAATAATAATCCAAGTCGTGTGTACGAACCTTGAAAAGCAATACTACGTGCACTATTGGTGTTTCTAACCAGAGCACCCTCTAGAACTGATCACAGTAGGTCTCTATCAAAGCAGCTACTTAAATTTGGAGATGTGTTACCTCTAAGTTAATATGAGGTCCATTTAAGTCACTTATTGTCAAGCGTTTTTAACCATTACTCCATTCACGTATGTGGTTTAAGATGAAGTTATTTCCTATGCAGCATGGACATCCGTATGTTACTCCGATTTTGACTACATCAAGCAGCTTGACCTCTCATCTTACTAATTTGCATAAACAGTTTCCATTTTCTTCAGCTTAAGTTGATTTTATATTTAACTTCTCGCTGGCGTATAGCATCACTCCACCCTTGCAACCTAATACTGTCACCCTTGATGCAGGAGTACCCAGAGAGAAAAGAAGTGAAATCCATATCTCTTATGAGGCATGTTTTCATCACCACAACTACGACGAGTGCTACTTCGTCAACTAAATTCCCCAACTCCAACATTCTATTACCCAGGCTGTGGGTATTAGTGTATAGTGCCGCTAGAGTGTTTGATGTATAACCCAGCTTACCCATATAGGTCTAGGAAGCATTTGTTCTCAAGAGCTTAATACCCAAAAACACGTCAGTCTGATCACCTTAGATATGTGTACTCCAAGTGATGTTTCTAGCGGAATGTGCCGAATGATGCCCTGGATTACATGCAAGTCATAGAGATGGTGGTTACCAGCTTTGTAACTGATGTCAATCTTCCAGACACTGTTAATTCAGATGATCAGGAAAAGTTTATGGGTATAAGATGTAACTTCTGTTAACACTTCAGTCGGTCATCTTGGTCATCACCGCTGGTAGAGCATATACTCTGGATGAGCTAGCTAGTGCACTACTCTCTTCATTCTTATACACACAGGATTTGTTTCCAATGTTGGACTTTGAAATACCCGTAGAGTCTAAATTTTAACCAATTTGGCATTCTCTGTTTTCCAGCAGAGTACTTCAGAAATATTAGACTTATTTACATATCAAACCGCTGAACTATGATAGCACGCTAAACCAAGTCGCAAGCCCTAAATTGTAGAATGAGGTGTTCATGCAGATAGAATCCAGTCTGTGCAGAAGAGGCGGGCTCATTAATGCGTCCACCATCTGGGATCCCCGTAGCACTGTCACGCCAGACACAGCGTTTATTAAAACCGGTACGCTCACGTAGTTGGGGTGATAGTAACACGTTCCCAAGCATCCCTTTGGTAAAAAATAAAGCACGGGGGAAACGTGCATGTTGACCAACGAATGTGCCGATACGCGCTACGCTTGACCTCGCCTCACAGAAGGCAAACCACTCAGTCGTCAACAGGGAACAAACCCCTGATGAATTTGGTGCTCGTAAAAAATCGCTATCAGGTCATAAAGCCTTTGCGTGCAACATCTGTCTAAAATGGGTACACTGCAACTGTGACAGTGGTATATCAGGCAAGTACTATGGCATTATGAGGAAGTACCCACGTAAATGGATGTGGTATGTGTCCAGAATGTCGGAAATTACCTGCTGTCGCCACCGGCAAACTGGAAAACCTGGCACAGCCAAACATGTTACAAAGCGAAACCTCCCATAATTTTGCCCTCAGAAACCGGTTAAGCCCCACATGTGTGCAAGTGTCACCGTTAGAGGTGGGAAGAACCTAGCTCCCACTCCAAGTGAGGTACCAACAAAGTGTTTGCCTGCGTTGATGCAGCCCAAACGATCCGACGGCACTAAGCGACCTGAATAAGCACGTTGTGTTGAGTACGCATGGTCGGAAGCAAATAGGGTGAAGGGCAGACCATAGGCACTGGTCACCAAGCCCAATACCCCGCACCCACAAGGCAACAGGACGGATCCCACCAACCTGTTCGGCGTCCTTATACTAACAGACTCACTCTTAGAAAAGAGAAAACATTCTGACAAGTAGAAGTGGAAAGACTACTGCAGGAAGTTGGGAATAGTAAAAATCGTGGCTAACTAATGCTGGCTCTTCCGAAGAAGTAGAGCATCTCGAGACAAGCCACCACTTGTTAGGGTATCAGCAATGACAGCGAAACAGTCGGAGAACATGCTGCTGCTGTCGCGCCGACAAGACTTTTCAGTCTCCTTCCACGTAAGGGTAAAACCAGATAAACCCTGGGCCAACGGAGAGGCGGAGAGAAAGTCCTCACTTGAAGATATGAATCGAGCGGCAACCATGGTGGTGCATGGGATACCTGAGCTAAAGGGTGGATCCATAAAGTGTGACAACTACCATCATGATTTCGAGCAGCGGAGATGGCTAGCGGCGAAAGTGGGACTTAAAATTTGCCTGTAACCAGCGTAAGTAGGTTACCAAGACGATCGCACCTGCAGAGAATTTCCTCACCAAGGTTGCTAGCTGTGCGCTTCGACTGGAAAGCATCACTAGCAGAAGCTCTCGCAGCGTGGTAACACGTAGAAGATCAAATTGGAGGTGCTATAAGAGACTATGAAAGTAAACCACGATCCGCCAGACTGCAAGGAAGGAGTCAACCTCCAAGAATACTAACAACAGGACTTGTCACAAAATAACTGGAAAGTGAACTAACTGCGAATAGGAGGCTGAAAGCCTATACTTATCTTTTCCCAGTAGATTTCTGTGCTTGTCCAATCCCGTTTTAAACGAGTCAATTGATGATGAGGACACCACTTCTTCTGGAAGTCGGTTCCATGCGTTGATTACTCAACGCGAGAACCGGTACTCTGCAGAGACTACGTCCGTTCTTTGCTTTTGTAGCATCCCACTATGTCCTCTGAAATGTTCAGACCTAGTGGGGAGGAAAAGTTAAGATAGATCAGTTCCGAAGTCATTTATCGGAATCCTGTGTAGCATGATTAGATCTCCCCTCTGTCTGAGATGAGGTAAAGTGAAGAGGTTCAGCTCCTTCAGTCGATCTTCATAGGTGAGGCCAGCTGTCGCAGGGATCATACGGGTGGCTGCCCTCTGAACTTTTCTCGAGGGTCTGCATCACCTTTCAGACGAAGATTTGCCGCCTATGTGCAGTTTCCTAATTTAGACCTAACTATGGATGTGTATAAGATGGTGAACATTATCACCACATATTCTTGTGAACGTTCTACGTGACGTCCAAAGTGTCTCAAAACTTCGAGCTGCTACCAATTAACAGTGTGCCGTGGTTTTTAAATCATAACTCACTGTGAATCCTGGGTCACTGTGTCAGGACTAATGGTAGGGGAGTCACATAAATATCGTAGGTGTTGCTGTGTGTGTTTTCCCCAAGTGCACGCTCATACATTTACCTGCATTGATAGGCGTCAGCCATTTCTCTGACCAGGCAAACAAGCTGTTCAGGTCTTCCTGAAGTGCACGTATATCCTCGTCGTTCCTAATATCCTGCCAGATTTTTGCATCACCAGCATAGTGAACCATAGAGGATTTCGTGATATTTGGCAGCTCATTTACGTACAGGAGAAACAACTGGGACCCAGGACTGTGCCTTGTGACATTCCACTTTCTACCGACTTCCAAGTGGAGAGTTGAGAATTGATTCTGACTCTTTGTCTCCTACCAACGCGGAACTCTCTTATCCCCTCAAGCAGACTTCCAGTCTCACTGTAATGGAATAATATTTCGACTAGAGGGAAAATGCGACAGCTTTTGATGTGTAAACAAAAAGTGCCAAGAATGAAGGTGAACTTTAAATGTCACTTTCCTTTTGAAACAGCGCGATCTTGGTATAGAGTAGTTGATTGGAATAGAGATCGAAGTAAATGTGGACAATAATTATCCCGTCGATACAGAGATTCATCAGTAACGTTGTTGACTCGATGAAACGTCACTAATGTGTTAAGCTGGCTTGTTACCATGTATATTTGACAGTGCTGGAGAATTTCACGAGGAATTGCGAAGTTTATGTACATTCTGCAGTATCAGGGGATATTCATAGAACAAGTTGTTATCATGATCTGTCGCTTTGCACCCATATGTTATATTTTCATCCTTTCCTGTACCCTACGATATATTCATCATAATTAATACTCAGGTCATTGATATTAAGCATCAATATGTGTTTAAATATTTTTGTCATAAAAGTTCTTGCCTTATGTTTATTGTATATAGGCTTAAAGTTAAGGATTCGTAAAGTAATTGAAGATTTAACGTTGTTTCAAGAATATTTATACTAACTTAACCATGAAAATTCGTAGTGCTCTGGTTTTGACAGCTTTAGCGTCTTCTCAACTATCAACAACATTTGATGAATTACCAAAAACGTTTTCACCGAATGAATATCAATATCGTCAACAGACAATGCCGCTTATCAGAGAATACACAAGTCGAGCAAAAGATATGGTTTACAGGTTTAAGGTAAGTAATAGATACATTCTACTGCAAATTTTGCTACTTTAGGAAAAGGTGGGTTGTCCAGGTATTTCTGTTTGTGTCTCCTTGTCAGGAAACATTATTTACCAAGAAGGTTAGTTATTAGTTCTAAAACTTCCTGTTATATAGATGCATATGACTGTATTTCTTTACTTTCAAGTGAAACATTATATTTAACAAAATTCACTAGTCGTATTTGTTATTTCTGAAGGTATTGGATATGCTAATGTTGAACACATGGTACCAGTGAATACAAATACAGTGTTTCGAATTGCAAGCATTAGTAAGCCATTCACTTCTTTATTGGTTGGAAGATTATTGGATCAACATAAATTGGATCTTGATGAGGATATTCGTTTGTATTTACCTGAATTCCCTGAAAAAATAATCGACAATAAATATGTATGTTTTTCAGTTTACAATCATCAATTCATTATTTTACAAAATATCTTATTTCTATTTCTAAATTAGGAGTGTTTGTATCGAACTGGTACGTATTAAATAATGATTAGCCGCTTGTAATATGCTTTCCAACCAATCCACTCTTATGTGATTTACTTTATCCCAGTACTGTACTTCAACTAACACAGTATGGGGACTTCACACATCATAGATATGCTTCACAATCCAGTTCTTGAAAATTCACGTGGTTACTGTGACGTAGCGACAAAAGGCAGCCAATAAGAGAGTTGTTTCCAAGTCATGTTCAGGTCGTGATTTATTCATGCGCTGACATCAGAACCTGATTGGTTCATTTATGGCTTCACTTTCTGAGAGTTTTGTAAATAGATATATGTCATGTCTTTGCCTAGTAGAAGTTGTCACTGTTCATACAGTCACAAGCCGTCTTTGTCTTATGATTTCTCGGCGGCTTAGTGAAACAGAATGTACTGAGGGAGGTCAGTCGTAAAGGTATTCGGTTGAGGTGTCTATTGAGTCTCAGTATCATTATATTCACGCAGGCAATTATACTAAAACTACACCCGTTGCACAAGAAGTGGCTTTCGTGGCTCAGGGGTGTAGTGGATAACGATGTAGCATTTGATGCGATCACTGTCGAGTCCAAATCCTGGTGGAAACAACATCACTCATTGGGAAGCAGATACATCCATCTGACGAGTCCTAAATAGGACGAAATGCGCATCCTGGATTCCACTGCTAGCCACTATCCATCATTACTATGTTGGGATTATATTAAGACTTACTTTTATAGTGATTAAAACCAGATACGGTGCTCACATTCTTCCAGGACAATCATAACAACTGTAGACTGGATAATTGTAAATCACAGCGTAAAGTTGTGAGATACTGACTGCCTGATCACAATTTTGTGATGATTTCCATGATCTCTAAACTGCTTGACTGTACCAAGTGTGACGTCGTAATCGCGCATTGCTAAGGAGTCCTCAGCTATGATGAAACAATTGTGTAATGCTCCTTGATAAATACTTGCACATAAACATCATATTCACGAATTACGTTAAATCTAGTGTTTTTCTGTTTTACATTAGTTTACATTGTTTCTTTGATATATCTCACAGTTGTGCACTGTAATTTCCTGCATGACATTTCAAGCAGAGCTTATTCCTCATAATCATAACACAGTGGTGTGGTTTTCATTTCACCTTCGATGATCACCCAGTCCGAGAAAATTTAGTCCGTCAAATCATAATCATCTCAGTCTCATTATTGATCAGCACAACGTTACCAATCCAATTCCACTCGTTTATTAGTGAGATTATTGGAAATGGCTGTGCAGCTAGTGTACCAGCAGAGATCTATCATAGATTCACGTAGACAGACAAACAAAATCAACCTATAACCTCCCATACAAGTGCATACACTCAACTTGCCACACTTCACTGTAGTATTAAAAAATAGGTGGATAGAATAAGAGCGATATCAAAAACGATAAATTGGTGTGGGAAGATAAACAATTTGAAGATAAGGTTACTGCGAATATTCAAGCTTTAAAAGATGTCGAAGCATCCGTACATCTACACCTTCGTTACCGATCTTCACCAATGTCACCAAGAGTCCTCAATTACTGATTCTTTCCTTTTCATGGACCCTAACCAAACAGTCTACATCTCCCACACAACTCAGACCAACATACAGGAACTTCATCAACTGCTGCCACCTCTTGGTCTGGTCACCATTGACCTTCTTACAACCTAATTCAACTTCCCCTAATAAAGCACATCGAGGTTGGTGGTGGATCGGGATACGCAGTACATGTCCAATCCATCTCAGTCGATAAGGGTTTACAATCCCCCATTCACTAACTTGTCTGTCTTGCCTAGTAACCTTTGCCAAATCTGAACACTGCTTACATAGTGATTCCACTAAACACGAGTAATGTTATGAAGACATCTGTGATCAAAACCCTTCAATCGATTCATATCTTCTACTTCCAATGACCATATCTCATAGGTGTGTAGTGGGACGGAACGGACTGCAGTGGAGTATATTCATAGTATATTCATAGATAGTCGGATATCTCGCTAGTTGGCACCATAAAGGGTGCAAGTTGGTAAATTGCAAACAAGCCTTCTGCATCCGAGCTGAGACTTCATCAGCAACTTTCCAAGTAAGTGAATTCGTTGACACATTCCACCACTTCACTGCCTGTTCTCAAATCGAAAGTAATTGTGGTAGAGCCGTGGAGCATCATCATCTTATATCATACAGGTGCGAAACACATGCCAAACATACTCAGATGTTTGGTCAATGCGTGCAGAAGACCTTGCATTTCGTCATGTTCTTCATCTTTCAGGACAACACTGTTTGCATACTCCAAGTCAACCAGATGTCCTCCAGGAAGTAAGTCCATCTCTGGAAAGTCGAGTGTATTTAAGTCAATCTTCGGTAGTACATCTGTGACAAAGTTGAACATGATGAGTGAAAGTGAGGATCCCTGACCGACATCACCAGTTGTCATTAATTTACATTACAAATCTATATAAGCTCTTACAGGGCTGTGTGCCCTCGAGTAGAGAGAGTAGATGAGCATAACAGGCTTGCTTGGTACTTTCTTCACAGTCAGATACTGCCACAACAATTCACGGTCGACAGAGTCAAATGCCGCCTTCATATGCTGGCTGTTGGCTGGCAATTAAGCCTGTATTCCAGGATATGTGGAATGGTAAAAATGTGATCGACGCACCCTCATGCGGGTCTGGAACCTGTCTGGTTCTCTCGAGGTTGCTTTTTGGAGATCCAATTAGGTGGCGGGCAACTTTGTGTCCTAGCAATATGGACACAATGTCAGTCAAACGTATTCTTGTGGTTGTCACAGAAAGACTTCTCCCCGTTCTTATAAACTGAAACGACCAATAAAATACAGCAGTCTGAGAGCACTACCTCTGATTCCTCTACGCCAACTAGTACCTCTCTCACTTTAATTAGCCATTTCCTGCCTACATCCCTGAGAACGTTGGGTAGTAAACTGTTATATCCTGCTGCTTTGGATCGTTTTAGGTTCGAAACAGCTTTCTCAACTTCAAGGGGAGTTGGAGGGCGGACATCTACCCCCCATTCAGGTTCAGGCTGGGCGTTGTGCAACTGGGGCTTTGATGAGGGCCAATTGAATTGTGCTTTAAAGTGTTCTGTCCACCGCTTTAGCCGCCTATCCTGGGAGGTTGTCAGCATCCTGTCCTTTTCGGTGATGGTTTTACTAACCGTCTTCTTACATCTATCCTCAATAAGACTAAATAGTTGTCGAGTGTTATTCAGCGCTGATGCCTTTATCTCCACTCTCGCCATTCATCACTGCCTGCGATCATTGCGAAGAACATTGGTCAACTTACATTCAAGTTGCTTACTCTCTTTGTCGTGGTCAGAGCCAGCTGGAATCAGTTTTCTTCCACCAGTTAGTTCGGATGACGTTTCGGAAATCTAATGATCTTTCTTAATCCTTAGGTGCAGGTTATCAACCGTCTTTACCGCTATTTCTACAGCAGACTTAATATCACACCAGATCTATTCACGATTAACATTGCTGTCACGTTCAAATAAATGTTTGACTCACTCCAAATATATACTTGGAGTCGATATCTTTCATTCCACGTTAGACAGGAGGGTGCAGACTTACATGAGCCCGTACCAGAGCGTGATCGAAGTCCAAATTGGTACTCCGAAGAGAACATCAATCCTCCACCGATCCTTTCCAACGATGGCTTATGGCAATATGATCCATTTGTGTCCATCGTTGGTTTGATGTCGGTGGATGTCGTGTGAGATAGTGTCTGTTCTTATGCCTAAAGTTAGTGTTGGCCAGAAACAAGTGATTGTCAGAGTGAAATTGTAACAGACGACCACCGTTGTCGGTTCGTTGATATACGATTCCGTGAATACTCTGAGGATGCCTTTGTGATTGACTCAGCTTCCCTAATTGAGCGTTGACGTTAGTCACATGTCAGTTATGACTACGTTTAAACGTTTTGTTTTTTGTAGCAAAGTTGAAAGTTTCTCATATAATTCATCCTATGTATCACCCGAACTGCATTTATTGTATGTTGGTGGTAGAGATTACGAATAAGCATTGGTTGGTCTCACAATCCTTCCTAGTGTTTACAGATCCATTCGGTTGGACAGCACACAGACTGCTGTTTACTGGTATTCAGTTGAGAAGCTTACTTTTTGCTGTACAGCTCAATGCTATGCCTACACCAGTGAGTTGACGAAAGCTAGCCACTGAGTCTATAGATACTAGTAAGGGTAATTTTGGAGATTCACTACAACGGCCAGATGAGGTGAATTTAACAACCTCACTCGACTCGTGTATGTGTGACTCAGAGACACAGCATACATCCATGGTTAGAGTTCTGGGGAGCGATGAATGCTGTCCGACTTGACATAGAGTTCTGACATTGAAAGCTTCTACATAGAGTCAGTGTTAGGTCTTAGGAGACGAGGAATGAGGTTTCGATGACTTTGATGATTGGTGATGGTTGTATAATGAGAAGTTGGGGAAAGTGTAAGAGGCTTAATATTGGTATCAGGAGGTGAAGGCGAAGGAGGAAATAGAGTTGGTGAGGATAAGTTGTTTTTGATTTGTCGTTGTGTTCCGCAAGAAGCTTGTGGGCTGTTGACACTTCCCGGATGCCCACACTGTTTAAATTTATTTCTTCGTGAGTTACTTGGGAAGGAAAAAGTTTTTTGTGACACCGGAGCTCATGGGACTTCTTCAGACCTGTGACACATGGCCTTTTGACAAGTTTAAAATTTTGGTTTTCATTTTCGAATCTGACTGTGAGTCCCTGTCGCTGACATCAGCACACCGCGAGGTGATAGGAGTGTACTTTTTTAGGAGCTAACCTTTTCTATCTTCGCCTTTCCCCAGGGAGTCCAGCACCAGCGTGGTACTGCTGGCCATACAAGGGAAAACGGGTTACCACTGTCACACCCGCGTGCAGTCAACAGTACGACTTCGCCCTTGAAAGCCTCTCATAACGCAGGGGTTTATACTATAGTGGTAACTTCTTTTTATCTAAATACTATCCAACAGACCTTTCTGGTATGGTTAGGACCTCAAGGGAACAAGCATTCTACCAGCATAACTCGTCGAATCATTATGATAGCAGGCCTGACCATCACGTCAAGGTAGCAGCTATCGGTTGGATTCACACGACAGCCATTTAAAAGTCGTTGATGATTAGGGTGAATTTAAGACCCGGTTAACAGCTGGATGTCGTAGTTCACTAGGTGGAGCACCAGACTGGTAACCTAGAGACCTCTGGTTTGAATCCTGAGGTGACACAGTTTATAATTTCACCTTAAATCATTCTATATCAATAATTTCTGTTTGTCAAACTACGACTGTCTTAGATAATCGCCATATATTTGCTGTTTTTTGCGTTCAATTACTAATGAATATTATTGTCAATATTTTCTTTGTTAAGGCAAAAATAACTGTCCGATCACTGCTAAATCATACCAGCGGTATTCGTAGTTATAAAAAGAATTCAGATGGAAACAAAGTATCGGTGAGTAAATTTGTAAATAATATTTTCTTGAAGCATACATGTTTACATCACGCTGAAAACAAGCATTATTACTTTCAGTATTTATAATTATAGGAAGATATATTCATCTTAGATGGTTGATTAATCCTTCAAAAGAAGACTACGCATAAAAGTTTCTGAACGACCTTAGTTTTCTGAATTCTGTGCTCATTTACCAATCCAACTGACTGTGTGCCCAAAGCTTTGTTGGGCGTACCATCAAGCAGCTTAACAAATGTGTTTCTGAGCAACCTATTCTCTTGGCTAAGAAAAGGGATATGTGATGTCAGTATAAAGTTTAAAGTGTTATCATGCTGTCCTCATTATCTATATCATATCACTAAGATGATTATTGCCTGAATAATTAATAGGCGTAAACTTCATTGCTTTGTAACCAGAGCCTAAAAAAAGTCACCATGATTAGTTTAATGTTTTATTGTATACGAGAAATAATCCTGTGCATAAGAGTAAGGCACTGTGACAGCTAATTAAAAGGTATGTTGTTCGCTCATATGTCTTCTAAATGTTATTCCTGATTCACACTTCTAAGAAATCTCTAATACATTATCAAACAGTACAGGCAAAATAAAACATTTCGTATATCCATGCTATCGGTAATCAATTAAAGTTTTCTTGTCTTTTTTTCCAATTTATACTTAGAATTATCCAGAAATGTTGAGTAATATTCGTTTCAAGGATACACTAAATGCTTGTGATATGTTTAAAAATGATCCATTAGTTCATGAACCTAATGTTCAATTCACCTATAGTACATTTGCATTCACATTATTAGCAGCTGTTATTGAAAGGGTGTGTTTATTAAAGGGGGGTTTATTTGAACAATCATCTCCAACAGTTAAAACTGAATTGGATACATCTGATAAAAAGGGAAAGGATACAAGTGATATACCAAAATGGGCAAGATTTGATACTCAACTACTAAGACTATTTAAATATCTTGGTTTGAATAATACAAGTTTGGAATATCCTGAAAAGATAACATCATCAAGAGCTGGGTAAATTTTGACCAGTTGATGTGTTGTATTTATTATTTTTTTGAATGGTATCATGTTTTTAACTTGAATAGTTATCGAAGTCCAATAACTTTTGTTTTGACGTCAAGAATATAAAGTTAACTGACAAATAATTTACGCTACATATGAAGTCATTATTGGAGCCCGGGAATTCAGTAGGTGACGTTTTAAAACAATGAATAGTCGGTTAAGACAAATTAAACTGGATATCTTTGAACACAACAAACGAGGTTACGCTGAATCCCTTCACTGGTCACAAACATATCGATATCATAATACACTTGACGTCAGTATTGAAGTATCCTTTAAGGGAGTATATATGTGATAAGAGAGATTGATCAATACGATCCTCTGAACCAACCGACCGACAAACATTATGGATATGACATGGTCTTACTGTGTAACCGGTCCAGGTTGCTACACGTGAATATTGGGTGTGTCGACCACTTCACTTACTTGGAAAATTGCGTCAGCCCTAACGGTCTGGTTGTTAATGAAATCACTCAGCCGTTTAAGAGCTTATATAGATTTGTAATGTAAATTAATGACAACTGGTGATGTCAGTCAGGGATCCTCACTTTCACTCATCATGTTCAACTTTGTCACAGATGTACTACCGAAGATTGACTTAAATACACTCGACTTTCCAGAGATGGACTTACTTCCTGGAGGACATCTGGTTGACTTGGAGTATGCAAACAGTGTTGTCCTGAAAGATGAAGAACATGACGAAATGCAAGGTCTTCTGCACGCATTGACCAAACATCTGAGTATGTTTGGCATGTGTTTCGCACCTGTATGATATAAGATGATGATGCTCCACGGCTCTACCACAATTACTTTCGATTTGAGAACAGGCAGTGAAGTGGTGGAATGTGTCAACGAATTCACTTACTTGGAAAGTTGCTGATGAAGTCTCAGCTCGGATGCAGAAGGCTTGTTTGCAATTTACCAACTTGCACCCTTTATGGTGCCAACTAGCGAGATATCCGACTATCTATGAATATACTATGAATATACTCCACTGCAGTCCGTTCCGTCCCACTACACACCTATGAGATATGGTCATTGGAAGTAGAAGATATGAATCGATTGAAGGGTTTTGATCACAGATGTCTTCATAACATTACTCGTGTTTAGTGGAATCACTATGTAAGCAGTGTTCAGATTTGGCAAAGGTTACTAGGCAAGACAGACAAGTTAGTGAATGGGGGATTGTAAACCCTTATCGACTGAGATGGATTGGACATGTACTGCGTATCCCGATCCACCACCAACCTCGATGTGCTTTATTAGGGGAAGTTGAATTAGGTTGTAAGAAGGTCAATGGTGACCAGACCAAGAGGTGGCAGCAGTCGATGAAGTTCCTGTATGTTGGTCTGAGTTGTGTGGGAGATATAGACTGTTTGGTTAGGGTCCATGAAAAGGAAAGAATCAGTAATTGAGGACTCTTGGTGACATTGGTGAAGATCGGTAACCAAGGTGTAGATGTACGGATGCTTCGACATCTTTTAAAGCTTGAATATTCGCAGTAACCTTATCTTCAAATTGTTTATCTTCCCACACCAATTTATCGTTTTTGATATCGCTCTTATTCTATCCACCTATTTTTTAATACTACAGTGAAGTGTGGCAAGTTGAGTGTATGCACTTGTATGGGAGGTTATAGGTTGATTTTGTCAGTCACCCGCGGCAGAAATGCATTACAATGTATAGAGAAAACAGTGTTCCAAGTTTTAATATCGTGTATGTAGTCATAAGATTTGGTCACCATAAAATGTGTTCTGACCACTTTCCAAATGCAATACAATACTGCAACTCCGAAATTTCAGCTTACGTTTTCTTCGGAACTTTGATAAAACTTGTCAAGTTTCACAGTAAAACTTCAATAGCGAGTAGCATTCGTAAATTTTATTGTTTGAATTCAGTTTTTTATCGACTGAATTATTCATGACTGACTGAAATGTAGGTGTGTAAGTATGTGAAAACGGCTTGCTGGTTTAAAGGTTTTTTCTCGTTTTCTGAATAGTTTATCTGTTCATTAATAATACTATAAAATCGAGGAAGTCGGCCGCTGCTGTAGAAATTTAATTTTCTGGGCTTGTGAACACATTTGAGCGTGGTTAGGTAAAGGTCTGGTAAAGACCGTTACTGGCTCCATATTAGCACGTTTACTTGAAGCGAACCATAAAGTGGATATGAATGAGTCACTTTCCATTCCGCACCGGGTTCCCATCAACCCACCAAAAGGTACCCGGCTCGGAATGCTTCAAAACGCACAAGCAGTAGCAATGAGGATCAAACAACCCTTATTGTATGTTTAAAAGAAGCATGTGTTGCCTCTGCTACAACCGTGTCTCGGTTCGACGTGCACAAATCCCTCAGCGTCTTGCCCCAGGTAATCTAGTTCCAAACTGTTGATACTCCTTCATCTCTGTAGTCTGAAATACTTCCAACAGTTTCTCTCCTATGACCGGTAGTACGATCTAACCGTCTACGAGGGATACTAGTCTGGCAGACCACGAACGACGCGAACCTAATGTGTGAATCAGAACGTCAACCACCACCACAACAATACCACCGACGGGTGAAGAAAAGACAGACTGTTGACAGAGAGCTTTTTACTGTCTCAACAATAGTCAATACAATTGACAGTGATGTTGAATATATGCATTTCTAAATGACCTTGACAACACTAAATCTCATGTAGGTAAAAATAGTTAACAGCCAATGAGAGTTCAGCCTTGAGAGGAGAGAGAAGAAAAACTAGCGGTATGAAAACAGCTATGTAGGTTATTTTAAGGTCATGAAAAATACAGCAGTAAAGCTATGCAAAATTAGGGGTATATGGCATTCTCTTGACCTATTTTATCCCCCACTATGAGTAGTATTCTACCAAGCTAGTATTTCTCAAATTATCTTTCTTCCTATTGTTTTACTAAACTATCACCTTATGCATGTTACACAAATCGTAAAATCCTTTGGACAGTTTATTATCTTGAATTAAATCTCAGCAACAGTTGATTCTATCATTAACGTTCATATTAGACTTTTCTGAATTGATTTCTTCCACTGTATAATATATTATTAAGAAACTGATAAGCGAAATTTCATTATTGTTGACGCATAATATATAGGACAATATATAGGACCTAAAGTAGTTACCGAGAAGATTATTCTTTGTTCACTCAAATGGGTTTTAATTATAGAATTACATCATATGGGAGATTATTTAGAGTGACTAATTCTTTACGATGGTCATGTCGAACAATAAGGTTATATATGCTTCTTTTAAAAGCACAATAACGGCGTGAAGTTTTGAATTACTGATGCTTCAGCTATGTATAGCCAAATTCATGGTTGTTATTGTTTTCTGTGAGATGGGTTGTTTAATCATGAAGCTTTCATCGTCTGTCTAAACGATATCATCAGCACTAACTTCAGTATGAAGTGAGCTGTCAGTATCTCTCCGTGAGTGATTTAGTAGCTTGTCTTGACGTAATAGTTTGTCATTGGTTGTTTCTTTTGATTATTGTGTCATTGACAGACTGCATAGACTTTCCTGTTGGCTGTTGTTCTGTTAACCTGTGACCTTTCTGTCGTTTATCATTCCTCTCATTGGTTGATGGATTGGGTCTATGTCTATACATCTGTTGGTTACTGACTAACTGACCTGAATGCAAAACTTCTAATGAATTGTCTCTGATATTCTTTGTGTATCGCCTCTCCATCCAAGATTTCTACATTGTCGAAATTGAATTCATGTGCATGGTTGTTATCTATTTGCATTGAAATAAGTGATGAAATGTCGTGACATTTAATAGCCTACTGGTGTTCATGTAGACGAAGGGGATTCATTCACTTTACTTCTTTGGTGTAACTTGGTTGTGCTTTATGACAAAATATTCAAAGAGGTGCCCAGTTTCATGAGTTTAATACATGTTCTATTATAGTGCTGACGATGCACTTCAGTTCTTCCTTTTGAATAAACGAAATAGGTAATTCCATATTTTTATAATCTTTTTATTCTCAATATAAATATTATCATCTCCTCCTAGTCAATATTATCGTTCAAAGAAAGGTGTACTTAAAAACACTCCTACAATTGATAATTCATATAAGTGGGCTGGTGGGGAATTCTTTCTACAGCTGGTGATTTAATACGTTTTGCTGATCATTTAGCATTGATTTACATTGGATGGCTTGATTCTTATGGTATTGTAAGACAGTCTACTTTGAATCAATTATGGAAAGTCTCATGTGTACCACCAAATCAGAATACATTACCGGGATTAGGTTGGTTTTTAGCTAGGTAAGTTTACAATGTAACAATAATTTACTTTTTATTCTCTATTAATTTCATTTTATTTAACCATACATCATTTTATGATAAGCAGTTGAGATGATAGACAACCTGGAAATAACATTGAATCTATGACTATTGTTAACTTCGTTGTCTTATCTGTCTAGGGAACTTGATCAGAAGTAACTCCTACTCATGTTAAACATTTATTTCGACAAAACAATAAGAAGACGTAAATTGTCTGAACCGTGTAATGTATTTGCGCAACACATTTCGAACTATCTGATCACACACGTACTTGTCATAGGTATTTATATAAAAACTCATGAAGATAAGGGGTGAGAAAATAAAAAGGAGTCAGGCAGGAGGGCTGACTTAAAGGCCGAATAACAATGAAAATCAATATAGCGAAAAAATAATAGTACATCGAACTTGGTTTTTTCAATAGTTGAATTTACCAAGGAAGGTTTAGTGTGACAACAAATTGTTTATGAATACATACATAAAAGCTAAGGCATCAACAAATTTCAGGATCCCTCCCCAACATGTTTTGTAAATAGGTGTAAAGGAAGTAGCCACATCAATCTTGTGACCTGTCTCAACAATATGTTTAGCGATCGAAGAACTTGGACGTCTGCTACCAACATTTGTTGGAAGTTGAAACCACCTTTATGTATTCAATTAAAATTTTTTTCTATTTTTTCCTTTTTTCACCCTTGTTTTATAAATAGTGTGAAATGTGCAAAACAATTTTTTTATTAAGGAATTTTAAACATTTATTATCCAATTAAAGATGTGATGATCTCATATCTTCTTAGATGAATAATATTTCTATAGTAAAAGATATCCAGTGTCTAATATATGTGTAAAGTATACATTTTATTCTAGTACTTTAAACACTCTCCGAAGTTATTTTTAAAAGGCTAACTTTAGAAAAATATGAATTCGGTTTATTCTTCATTATTAAATAGAGAGTTTGAAAATGAATTCCTAACTGGAATTATATTTGAAAAGTTACCCTAATTTGATAAAAACCTACTGTCCAAAATGAATAGAATTGCAATTAATGTGAATACAAATAATCATATTAGTCATTAGCAATAGAGTAGTATTTTGTTGAACTGGGTATACCTGCACCCCATTGAGTGATATTGTCTCTACTGGAACTTGAACTCACTGAACATCACTTCAAACGCCAAAGCGTTATCCACTAAACGATTGGGTCACGATAACCATCTCCTGTGCAATGAGTATCATTTGTTGTTATAATATTTGTAACCTCCCGTTGCTATACAGGGCTGAATTGCTCAACTTCTGTTCAATAAAAAAGTAATGTTAATGATTAAAATGTCGCAGTTATATAGATGACGAAAAAACATTAATCAAGAAGAAAGAATCAGGTAAATAACACCAAACCAAGAAAGAAAGAAAAAGTAAATCGAACATTCTCCTCGTGACCAATGTGGTTTAAATAGTCTCCAAAGTACATTCCCATTGCTCAATACCAGTTTAGGTGTAATTATTAAACGTTTAGAACTGCACGATATAGTGCGACCTCCATGCAATGTTGTCGTTGGATAACTGTCCTCATATCTGACTCGGTTGGTCCAAGCGGGGTCATGAGTGCACACTTCTGAGGAGTCCCATACTAGGAGGAAACACCTGTCCAGCGCTCCAAGGTCTCAAGTGTTTCTCCAACTGATTTCAATCCATTATGAACACCAACTTGAAGGGAATATATAAATCCTCACAAACCTTCAGATTAGATTTTACAACTTCATCTGTACACATATGGATGACACTTGTTTGATACTACTAATAATGTTACATTGTCTTTAACAAGTTTTAATTATTTTTCTTATCACTTTTTAGTTATAAGCTTTAATCAACTTTGTTTGCTTTCAAGGAAGGCTGTAGTCAATGATTAACATCACCTAGTTAATAACTACTGAGAGATATGAGAACCTAAAGTGAGATAGTTGTATACGATGAACTGAAGTTGTCCAGATGCACCGAGGTTCAGCAGTACATTTTGTCTTGCTCTTTTCAATTTCTGATAGTTCTTTATCTTATATAAATTCGAAGTGAGAATTACATTTAGATTAGGCGATTTATGTGGGTAATAACTGGTTAAACCTGACTGACTGACAAGATCTCAACGTAGAACCTCTCATATGAGTGTATCGGTTCAGGTTGCTAAAGGTGGATAGAAAAAGAGTGATATTAAAGTAGACAAAGTTGTGTGAGAGAATAAACAATCCGAATATAAAGTTACTGCAAATATTCAAGTTTTAGAAAATGTCAAGAAGTGAATACCTTTGCACTACTTGACTAATTTTCAGCCATATCACCAAGAATCAGTCCTCTGTCATTTAACCTCTGGGACCCTAACCAGGCAGTCTACATCTTCCAGCACCGCTCAGACCAACATTCAGGGACTTCATCGATTGGTGTCACATCTTGATCTGGCCACCCTGAATCATTTCTAACCTGATGGATAGCGTAATTTCATCTGTCTGTTCTTGACTTTACCATGCTGCTGTTGGTATTACAAAATTATCATAATAATGCGTTAAAATAAGCTAAACTATTGGTGTAGAGACTTAGAATCGTTATACAATGAAGGGATAATTACTGATTAGTAGATATAAACAATCAACAGAATAATCAAACTACTAGATGGATTCGACTGAGTGAATATCATTACCACTGACCAATAAATTATTGTTCATTGTAGTAAAACATTCTTTCTATATTCGAAATATGTAATGGAAACATGATTAATTCAACTTTTGGATCCTAAGATATTATTATTAATTGAATTCAGGTTATATAGTAAAGGGTGATCAGTTGAAAACAAGCGCATTCTATGACCCCCGTAATAGTTGATCTTGGCAGTTTAAGAAGAAACTACCAGATTGCAATCGAAATCGTTGGTTGTAGGCTCTATATGATATAGCTCGAATTTGATCAAGGTAGGCCTGATAGCATCTATGCCTCATTTATGTTAGTCCTCCTTGAGGACAACTAATTAGGTTAGAGATGAGTTTTTCAAGCTATTCGTGATAATTATTCACCTACCGTGTTGTTGATGCCGCATAAATCTTTAATAAATTATGACAAAAATCACGTTGCAGGTTGTATGTGAAATTTGTTGGAGAAGATAGTATGGTTGAAGAGATGAATATCTTGTTCGGTGACATGAATATAACCTGGGTAGAGGAATTAAATAGGATTGGATAAGTTATAACTTACCCAATTTATGTTTATATACATTTGTGTTAAACCACAGATCCTTAGTATATACGATCACAATACGAAGGTAGGACATTTTCAGTAGATAAAAGATCAGAAAAATATATCCTAAGAGTTTTGTGAAAATATATATCACAATATGCACAAATACTTGTTAGTCATATATGCCTTTATCTGAAATAGGCTACTCCTATCAAGCACTTCATTGATCAGACAACTGAAATGCATGTAAACAACTTTGTAAACATTCAGAATCGTACTAAGAAAGTTATAAACATCCTTAATACGTTGACGACGGAAAATTTTCCATATACCATTTAAAATGATATTGTCTCATTTGGATTGATGGCAATCCAGCCAACGGGTATAGTTTCAAAGATTGATAAACCTATTTAATATGCAGATATTTTTATTTCTCAAGTGAAACAGATTATTAAATTGAAAATAAAGTATCATTTTCCTTAATAGTCACCTTGTCCTTGACGTTCTTGATTCTGATTGGTCATTGCATACTTGAACGTGATTCGCTGTCACTAACTCCAATCATTTTTATTTGTTTCATGGCTTCGTACAAAATTTGATTTATTTTTCTCTCATTTTATACGTTGATATTGTGATGGAAGGTGTTTACTACTTTCAACATGACAGCAATAGGTCTTATCATAATAGGGATTTGACTAACCGAACCGAATCCCTAAATATCATTTCTTACTGCCATACAATTATAACAAATGTAGCCAGTTGTAGATGATCTGATTTTCATTATGTAATATTTTTCTTTTAGTTATAGATCGTGAGTACTTCGCAACCAGTCAATATTCTTTTAATCTAACGTGTAGTCTATTATAGCATTTCACATAAAATTGTATATTATTCTTTTAGGCGTTCAGGTGACCCAGCTACCGTGGAAAATGGTTATCCAGATCGATTATACGCATTACACACTGGTGGAGCAGTAGGCGGTACAACTGTTCTTCTTCTTAGCTTACCTCTTTTTTTATCAAATGAAACAAATAAACTGAATAGTAATGATCAAATTCTATCTATCAAAAACACTGATTGTAAAGATAATCACAATAAGTATCCAACGGATATTAGAGTGAAATCAGCAAATATACCACCAATTAATGTAGCTATTCTAACTAATTTAGAAAATGTTTCCGGTATCTCTGAATTAGCGATTCATTTAGCTGAATTATTTCTAGACTATGCTTTAAAAGAGGCCATCTAATGTATATGTGCCAAGAATACTATTTTGCCTAGTCATTATATTGTAATATACGCCTTCTTTCTTTCCTCTGATCAATGTATATTTAACTTGATGTAAAGCTGATTTTCTCTCCCTTTTTTTGTGATATATTAGACTAGGCTATTCAAAGTATACCTAACATTGGGTGTATATCACCTAGTGGTATATTTTAAGGAGTTATCTGGAACAAGATGTAATTTCGCGTCAATTATTTTTCTCATAATATATATTAGTACTGTTAACAATTTCCAATTTGACGCCTCATTTGATTTTGTATACCTCTTCATGATAATAATGTTTGGTTTTTTTTAAAAAATATATAGGAATGATGATGATGCCTGTTTCTTTCAATTTTTCTTCATACGATTGCTTCTTTAATCATTCCATTGGATGGTTTCGTCAGCTTGATTATCTTAAAGACTCTTTTTTTTTCATCTTAGACTGGTTAAGTGTTTCACATTCATAGTTAGGATCTACATTGCTTGTACTAATCATAGTAGTGTTGAACTATTCGGCTTAAAAACCCCGGGAGATTGAATTGAAGTATGTTACACATACCATACTATTTACCAAAGTAACGGTGATAACAGTTAGTTACCCGTGTTATCGTAAGATGGTCACAATTTATTATGAGTTTATTTTCAATTTTATTTCTTCCAACTGTTTCCATTTTCATGATGTAATACTTCTTAGTACAGTAATGCTTCTCCTCCCATTCAATGGACATGGTTAACTCTCGAAGTATAGTTGAAATGTTTAGAAATTATGGTTGACATCTGTAGAATGAAGTGTAGAAAATAGTAAAAAAACTACTAAGTGTAGGTTAGATTGAAGATATAGAGTAATACATTGTGATTTCACAAGAACATCTTTATTGATGCAGGATAAACCTGCAGCTCTTTGAATCCAAGTATTAATTATGGAGTCTTTGTTAAAACTCTGCTCAATCACCTTTGTCACACAGAAAGCACCATTCACTGTCATACAATATATAACTTCCAGTTGAACAAGTATTAATCTGTTGTTTTTTTTCCAGTGGTTTACCCGTTTCAAACTGTTAATCGACTCAACGATTAGAAAGTGATGCATTTTCTTTACTTTAAATGATTATACCTTTTCGGATCTGTCTTACAAAACACAGGTCTGTAAACCTCGATGATGTATCTTGCAAATTTTTGCGGTAGTAATGTTTTTCTTTGCGCATACAAATAACACGAAGTGTCCCATTTACAGTTTATAAGCTAAATTCGAATAAGAAAAATGTGGTCCAGAAGACTTACTTTTGACGAAAGATGTTTGGTACGAAATATGAGTTGAAATTTAGTATGATTGATATGTCAGTTTTATCTTCCTATGAAATGATGTTTGTGCTCAGATCAGGTGATCTTGAAAGCAATTCACTAATGAGCACTATACAGTAGTGTATTTTTGAGATGAGTGGGAATTTTTTCTACTTTAGAAGTTTCATTGGTTCCCTAACTGATGTCAGTCCATGATGAATACTACTTCTGAATTCATATTAGCTTGTTGGTAATCACAACTTATATACGGTGGGGCTTACAAATATTCTTCATTGAATAGTCGGTTATTTGAAATATTAAAGTAGTGAAGTAAACGAGAAGACAGAGACGAAGGAAGGATTCTTTATATTATTAACATGTGGTACAGTAGTCGTTAAATATGGTACACTTTCCACTAAGACAGTCATTTGCATATTGTGTTTCATTTCCTTTTCCGCTTCTCTCTTGATTTGCTCTTAGTACGACCTCGTCTCTTGCGTTTGCCTGGGCAGAATCCTTACCCATTGGTGGTAATTCCTTTTCATTTCTACCGCCCTCTCAACATATACTACTTATATTGGTTCTTATCAGCAACGCCCACTACTGATGAGATATCACGTGGACAAATTCTATCGATCACTTAAATGGAAATGTAGCAACATTATAAAAATCGAAATGACATTCAGACACAAAGTGAATAGAAATAATTATATTATTTGACTTATTTTCGTTGAAGCAATCAAAGAGAATGATAAAATACACATATTTATTGGTTTCGCCCCAACTGATTAACACCTACACTGGAATACGATACACAATTTTTGACGTATCGACACTTTAGTTTGGAGATAAAATCTTCATTGATTTGTACAAGTATGAATGAGTTACCGATATATATATATATATATATATATATATATATATATATATATTTATATATATATATACCAGTTGTAACTGAAGTGGATGCTAACTGAAGACCTTGGATGATAGTCTCACTATGTCGCGAATTGACAGAAGTTGGAAATTGTGAACCACTGGAAACCGACCCAGTGGCTGAATGTTTAGCGCGTTCGCTGGGAAACCTGAAGGTCCTGAGTTGGATCTGTAGTCGGGTCGTGAGTGCGTACTGCTGAGCAGTCCCATACTAGTTGAACGAAGCAGCTGTCCAGTGCTCCCACGTTTTCAATGCTTCCTCAACTGATGTCAGTCCATGATAAATACTACTAAATTAAAAAAATCCCCATTCACCTCAAAAATGCACCTCATCTCAAAGTTAATGATTGACTAGAAAATGCCCTGAAGAATTTTACTATACATACATGTATTTCGGTAAAAGTTATCCCAACTCACTGCAATTCATAATTCTTGTTATGTTAGCTTTAAAGAACCTCGTACTAGCGCGGGTCATTTTTTAAAATAATTTTTGTACAGATTCCTAACTTTGGTGGTCTACTAACCATAATCTAGTGTATCAGCTCATGATTCTCACTAGTTGCTCAGAGTAGGGTAGAATGCGTTGGAACACATAACCCAATGCTTGTTAGTCGTATACGCAGAACACTTCATATGATACAGGTTCAGATGTCATGAGTGGAATTGCTAATTTTCTGTTCGGATGACCTTGACACGTTAATTTATTTAAAGATTACGAAAATAGCTCATTCAGTTTATGCGTTTGTTGCTCGTTCCCCTTACATGCATAGTAAATAAAAATTTTGAGGAATTGGTTCAATTTCCCCTCTTTAAATGGTGTGAAAACTTAGAGTTCAAGAAGAAATTATCAAATTATTTCAGCAAAATGTTATCTCAAAGAATTAACGTCTAGTTATTTACAACTATCCATGATTATTGTTAACTTAAAGTTGATATTCACTCACATTCCATTTACAGTCCAATAATCAACACTGATTTAATTGCAAATAGTTAAATCATGGCAGCGGAATCAACTTTCTCAATCTGTAGCAACATGTGCAGACTAGTTAGCTAAGGAAAAATTTCGCAGTGCCTTTAGTAGAACTAGTGTGAGCGGCGAACGCTTAAATTTAGTTGTCGCCCTAGAAACGATTGGAATCATCCAGGATAATATTTTGCTACTGATCAAAGAAATTAGGTCACTTAGTCTATCCTGTATCAGTCATCTAATCATCAATTAAGGTTATTTTGAGATTTTGGACTCTTGAAAGTGACATGAACATACGATTACAATCGTCTTCAGTTGTGTCAAAAAATGGTTCATTCCATTAATGCGAAGTTAATTATCAGCTGTTGTTATGAGCTGGATTGGAAATCCAAATAAAGTAGTAACGATGTACAAGCCAATGTACTAAAATAATGACCCTACGAGTTTTTTTTATTGTTGGGAAACACTCCGGCTATGAGAATCTTTCTGTGCGGTTGGTGATTTGAATCTGTCGCTTTTAATCTATGATTAAAAGCTGAGCAAACATCAACATAATGAGTAGGCAAGCAGTATTGAAGTATCCGCATAGGAGCTCATCTACAGATAGAGATTGAGCAATTCGACTCTGTATGGCAACAGGGAATTACAACTTTTAAAAGCAAGAACGAATAGCCTTTTGCATAAGAGATGACACTCGTAGGTCGATGGCCTAGAGGGTAATGACCTGGCTTTTGGAGCTATGAGTACTGGATTCGAGTCTCACTGGGAACAAGATTACTCACTGCAGTGCAGGTACATCCAGTTGATGAGTGTATCCTGGATTCCAATCCTAGCCACTAACCATACATCAACATGGTGAACACCTTAACCATTGAGCTATAGACTTGAGTACAAATGAAGGTGTGTTGAATTTCTTCTTCAAATTTTTATTGAAGAACATTATTCGAATCAGTTTATTTGAATACATTGACCTCTCATTTCGTCTTTTACCAGGTGAATGTCAATTAACTATTGAATTACTTAGTGGGTCGTGTTTAATGGGAATGAACGTGAACACTTACTGATGCGTATATTTCCAACCTGAGTAGTTATCTAAGCTTTAAGTAATTATTATTTATTTGTCCCTTGGGTTCCTAATGGAACATAGGGCTTCAGTAACATGTCTCCATTCCACTCTGTTCTCTGAAATATTTTCAATCTGGCTCTACGACAGCCTAGAAGCTCTCATTTCCTCCTCGCACGATCTCCTCCATGTCACCCTCACCTCGGACGCCCAACTCATCGTTTCCCATCTGGGTTCTACTCGAGCAACTGGCCTGGTGTGTGATGTCCCCGAATGGTCTTCTCAGTTTATGCCCAATCCATCTCCACTTCTTTCTGCATATTTGTTGAGCGATAGGTTCTTGCTTTGTTGGTTCGTTGCCAGGCCTTAGTTATTTGTTGCTTATTATTTCTGGCCACCTAAGCTTCAATAACAAGTGTAGGCAGTTGTTAATGAATATCTGTAGTTTGTAGGAAATCCCTTTCGTTACGCGCCAAGTCTCTGAACCATACAGGAGCACTGACTTGACGTTGGTGTTGAAAATCTGGATCTTGTTCAACATGCTGAGTGCAGAAGATCTCCACACTGGTTTCAGGCTAATGAACTCCTGTCTTGCTTTTCCGATTCTGACTTTGACATCCTCGTCTGTGCCGCCACCTTTAGTTGGGACCGTGTTGCGTAGATAGGTGAAAGAGGCTACTTCCTTTAAGTTTCTCCCGTTGATGGTGATTGGAGCTTGCTGGTGTTGTTGTTGGTTGGGTATCTAAGCTTTAAGTAATACCAGACTTTTTTTCGACATCTATATTGAAATGCATCAGTCATGTAGATGATACCAAAGCTCATTTAGTTAACGATTTGTTTGATACTACTTATTTTTGGCTTGACAGAGTTTGCCATTTATCTTTCTCATTATTTGTCGTACAAACTCGATATTTACCAGTCCAAGCTTTGTAGTCCAATTCGGAAAATATCAAGTTAATAGACATTGATAGCTTATAAAAAACTACAACTAACCAAAGTATTCGTCTCAAAGCTTCTTGAATAACTGAAGTGATGGGCATAATTTACTAACTTGTATAGGCTGAGTGAGAGGTAGACACTGTAAATGAGTAATGTATGCAATTGTTATATTATCCTAGTTTTGTTCACTGTATCGGAGATATCAACGTAATGGGTAAGCGTATGATATCGCTTGATGTTTGTTCTTTATTTACCAATGTTCCACTTGTTGAAACCGTTTGTTATCTATGTGATTACATTGATTCTAATAATATTAACATTGGATTACCTACGAGCCACCTAAAAGAACTAATATTGAGATGTACGTTTAATGTACAGTTCAGATTCAATGATATAATTTATAATCAGACGGACGGCGTTGCAATGGGGTCTCCACTAGGCCGTGTTCTAGCTGATATCTTTGTGGCAAAACTTTAAAAAGGGGCCCTTTAAAGAATAATTTCGGAACTTTATTTGTATAAAAGGTACATGGACGACACTTTTCTTATTTGCAACGAAACATGTTCAATGGACGAGCTGTTAAGACGTTTCAATGATTGTCACCCATCGATTAAATTCACTGTAAAGAAGAATTAAACTCATCGTTCCACTTTCTAGACGTAAGGTTAAAGAGAAGGGATGATGGCTCTATACAAAGGTCAGTCTATCGAAAACCAACTTGGACCGGTCAGTCCACTAAATTTTATAGTTGGGTACCTCTTGGTTGTAAGAGAAATCTCATTCACTCACTGTGTTCTAGAATCCTATGGAATATGTTCAGAAGATACGGTTGATGCTGAAATTGAAACTCTTAGAATAATACTATCTAATAACGGATACCCTAAAAGATTTATTGATAAGAATCTGAAGAAACAAACCACTCCCCATCCAATTACAGTCCCTAAGAAAATTTTAACCATGAATCTAGAATTCAAAGGAGACACCACAGCGGAAGTGTTGAAAAATCGTCTGTCAAGATGTATCAATAGTAGATTGTATGCTGCTAGACTGAGATTGATATTCTCCAGCCGCCGTCTGATTCGTCAATGCGTGAAAATAAGCTTCCACTTTCATCCACATCTATGTGTATATACAAGTCCTGTGGAGCTGACTATATTGGACGTTGTAAGCAGGCCTTCCGAAAACGTGTTGCTGAACACTACTCGGTTTGGCTTACCAGAGGCGAGTAAAGGAAGACGACTTCATCCATATGTGAACACCTTGTTGAATTTGAACACTCAGCACCTCGAGATTCATCCTTTAAAATAATTTACAAAGTTAAATTGAACCACTCCAAAGGTTTACGTTCCAACCACTTATGCATAGCTGAGGCATTAGCTATACAAGAATAAAAACCGAAACTTTGCATTCAAAAATGCTTTGTGAAACTACACTTTCTCTACCTTGGCCTTAACAATTCATTTTGTTGATTTTGTCAATTTCAGTTCACTTCACTTTGGTATACTTCTCTTCTATTATCACCATTATCACCAATTTTCACTTTCATTGACAACACTTGAACCATATTTCACTGTTTAATATCAATTAATTTCCTTGTTCATTAACCTATTCTACATGTTTCAGCTTAATTATCACTGTTTTACAATTATTTGACAACACTTGTCGCTTATCTCACCACTTGTTATCAATTCGTTCCTCCTTTTTCAATGACGCATTTTCTATCTCTTCCACTTGAACAAATACCACCACCACCACTCCACCGATTGTAAATTTTGTATATTGACTGAGCAAGTCTCTTTTTAGTACAATTATCTGTCACTTTACCGAGTATAAATACGACTACTGTGGAGCTTAATAATGAAGTCGTTGGAAAAAATATTTCTTCGGTGATACATGCCTTGTTCTTGTTAATGAATAAATGGGTATATTTCGTCAATTAAAAAAAATGTAATGTGAATACCTGTTACAACTAATCACGGATGCAGTGAACCTGATAAATAACAGTGCTTATCATTTCCAGGTTATGCAAGGTGATATTGTATTCAAAGAGGGAGTGGTTAAATTATAACTTTGAGCAGAAAAATTATTATTATTATTCACAAAATGAAGAACATGGTACATGTTATAATTTTTCTTGTTGTTCATGTTGTAATTGAGTCCTTCTGACGAAAATGCTGTTAACAATAGAGTAGAGAAAGCATATTTGTAAACTGATTCAGATATTGGTTAAGTACATTACTTACAGTAAAATGTTTCCAAAAACTATATAATACTACTATCTGTTCAAAAGAATCACATTCAAGGTGATATGAGTCATTCCTAAGATGAATGTCATAGTAATGATATCCAACCTTGTACTCGGTTACGAACTACACTTGAAGCAAATTAGCAGAAATTGTTTGTTGTCGAAATACAACTGACAATAACAGAAATACTAGAATTTGAAACAATTAGTCCCTTTTATGAATTTGGATAATGTAATTAGAAGACGTAGATTATCTGAAAAATGTGATGTATTAGCGCTATACATTTCGAACAATCTGATCACACATTTACTTGTTAAGTAAGTAAGAATGCAAAGTAACATCTAGTCTAGTAAAACTCCTGAATATCAATGTTATCAACAAGGAAGAATTTGCTTCCCTCAAACCAATGGGGTCTGAGCTACCTAATCTGTATGGATTGCCTAAAATTCATAAAACAGATAATCCTTTACGTCCTATACTCTCCATGTTCCGTTCACCTACACATAAAGTGGCGAAATGGTTAGCAAAAACTCTAATTCCTATTCGAAATGATTTTCTTTAAAAGATACTTTTGAACTTGTTAATTATGTCAGTGATATTAATATCAAAGATAAGAGATTGTATTCATTTGATGTCAACTCCTTATTTACTAATGTACCCCTAATTAAAACCATTGACATTCTTTGTGATCATATATCTTCCAGTAATCCTTCTTTCCCTATCCCCTCAACGTGTTTGAGAGAGCTGTTATTATTGTGTACCGATAAAGTTCATTTCACATTTGAAGGTGAACATTTTCGACAAATAGATGGTGTGGCTATGGGAAGTCCCTTAGGACCATTGCTAGCTGATATTTACATGTCACACATTGAGGCTTGACCGGCGATCTCATCAATAAAGTTACTCTCTATAAAAGATATGTCGATGATATAATCGTCATATGTGATAAGCATGAAGATGCAACATGTTTGTTAGAAAGACTTAACAACGTACAAAACAACATAAGCCTGACAAGTGAAGAAGAAAAAGAAAACCGTCTGCCATTCTTGGATATACTCCTAAGTCGTAGAAATGATGGTTCAATAAAACGGTCGATCTACAGGAAACCTACTTGGACAGGTCAGTATTTAAGTTTCCATAGCTTTTGTCCAACCCAATACAAGCGAGGTTTGGTAATTTGTCTATTTAAAAGGATCGAGCGTATTTGTACGGAGGACTCAATGGATGATGATATCAAAATACTAACGGAAACATTAGTGGAAAATGGATATCCATTGAAGTTCATAAACCGCTGCAAAAATCAGCGAGGATTCAAACCTGATCTGTGCTCTGTTTCGAAGAAATGCGTTTACATCGCGTTACCATACAGAGGAGAATCTAATAGCATAATATTAAAACGAAGGTTAAGGTCTGCTGTTAGCAAAACGTACTATGCAGCTAAGCTTATCATAGTTGAGAAGACCAAACACCTGCTGCTACCTAGACCTCAACGCTGTATAAACGATTGTGTCACATCCCATTGCGTTTATAAATTTACATGTGTGTGTGGACAAACATACATAGGGAGGACGAATCGTGATATGCACTTGAGGGTAGGGGAACATGTTCCAAAGTGGCTACGAAAGCAGCTGGATTCACAAACATTGATAAGCGCAGATGGCAGACAACCATCATCATCCATTGCGAAACATATCATTGATAAGAGTCACAGAATTGATATCAAAACAGCCTTTACAATTTTGTACGAAACTGTCAGGGGCGTATACTTAAGTTTGTTGAGGCGCTAGCCATAAATAAATTTAACCCCCCATTGTGTGTGCAAAAACAGTTTGTCCTTACATTAAGCCTACCTTGGTAATGCTTATTTTATCGTATTACCAAGATTGTCTTCAAGTCTTATCTTTTATTCCTCTCATTATCTTTCTTATTATTGAATTCCTTTATGTCATATGTGTCCTTCCCCCACTTCCAGTTTTCATATATAATGCCTTAACAAGTAAATGTGTGATCAGATTGTTCGAAATGTATAGCGCTAATACATCACATTTTTCAGATAATCTACGTCTTCTAATTACATTATTCAGAAATACTTGACCTCATAAATTGGTATCCATTTGCAACCAACCTTTTGTTTGGTATATCATTCCTATCCATACTTATCGTTTAAATTAATTACCCAATATATTGTGTTTTGTCACTGGAATCCTTATAAGTCGGTTGTTATCAATTTCGACGTTACTATTATTATTTGTCCCTTGGGTTCCTAGTGGAACATAGGGCTTCAGTAACATGTCTCCATTCCATTCTATTCTCTGAAATATTTTCAATCTGGCTCTACGACAGTCTAGAAGCTCTCATTTCTTCCTCACACCATCTCTATGTCACTCTCAACTCGGAATCTCAACTCATCGTTTCCCATCTGGGTTCTACTCGAGCAACTGGCCTGGTGTGTGATGTCCTCGAATGTTCTTTTCAGTTTATGCCCAACTCATCTCCACTTCTGCATATATATATATATATATATATATATATATATATATATATATATATATATATATATATGCACTATATATATGCACTACTTATGTATAGCTGTCACTACCTACATATTGCGAAGTCTTATTGTTGCTATGCCGTCGCCAAAGCTGAACCTACAACTCACTTTGAATATCAGTTACTTAAGCCAATTAGTCATATCTCTAAATACTCATGAAAACTGGGAGTATATTCATACTGATGACTAGCAGTGGAATCTAAGACACATATTCCATCCTATTTGGGATTAGTCAGCTGAATTTTCCTGCACCCTAGTGAGTAATGTTATTCCCACTGAGACTCGAATCCTGTACCCATCGCTTGAAACGCCAAAGGTCTATCCTCTTGGCAACGGGAAATAAAAAAAATATCAAGATAATGATTGATACTTATTGCACAAGAGATAGTACTCATGCCTTGGTGGCCTAGTGGACAACGCTTTGGAGTTTTGAGTGATTAGTTCTAGATTCGAGTTTCAGTGGAAAAACATCCTTCACTGGGATGCAGGTATATCCAACTGATCAGTCTCAAATAGGACAATACTTGCGTGTTGGATTCCATGACTAGCCACTATCCTATCAATACCATAAAATAGATTATTTAATTTGAAAATAAGACATGATACTAATCTACGAAATGGTTTAAAAGTTGATCAAAGCTGTAAAAGAGAGTGTGTGTAAGCTGTTTAACTTTAGACATTGAGAACCAATGACTGAAGACTATAGATGGTATATTTAAGAATTAGTCCCTGTGGCACAAATGCACTCACAATCTATCTATATTCAGAGTTTTAATATCTGCCAATTTGTTTCTCATTTATATCCATTTTAAACATTATCCTAAAATCTACATTTTTGTCTGTCGATCAACGAATATTTGATAGTAACTGATAAATATAAAGTAGAATTCTGTGGTTTGGATTGTAACCGAATACTGGATAATGTATATACTTTTCAGTAGGTGAAATATGTCTACATTATATGATAATACAGCACACTGCTCAAGAATCTTTCATCAACTCTCTAACAGAAAAGTAGATCTACAATATTATAAACTTTAGAATCAAAATTTGACCTGATAAAGTAGCATAATTTGAGTATTGGGTAAATGGATAATAAATGAAATACATTTTGTAAAATCCCAATGAAGTAGAAAAATTAATTTCTAACATTTTCGTGACTTCATGGAAATCGCTTCTTCAAAGAATAAAACCTGTACAAGTTATCGACCGTTTAAATAGTAGATGGTGATAAATCAGATCACGTTGTTCATGTATGATAATAATATGAACATAAATGTCATTGTTATGCTTGTCAGAAAGCGTCAACTTGGAAACATATCGTGAACGCATAAAGAATTTAGACAACATAATTAAACTTCCCCTTCCCTTGCATACCCTGGACCAATGAAAAGACCCTACATGATTTGGATTTCACCAACGATGGTGATTTATGTGTAATGTATTGTTGCACAAACTCGAAGATCTACAGGCGAAAACTAACAAGTTGACAGAAGAGACAAGACAGCGAAGACGGGACTTCAAGTGAATGTAGAGAGTACAGAGGTGATGAAGATACCCAACGAACAACAGCATCAACAACAAGAGGCACCAATCACCATCAATGGGCGAAACCTAAACGAAGTAGTCTGTTTCGCCTACCCAGACAGCATTGTTTAAACTACAGGTAGCAGCACAGACGAGGATGTCAAAGCCAGCCAGGATCGGGAAGACAGCAAGACCGGCTTTCATTAATTAGAAATCAGTATGGAGATCTACTGCACTCGGCATGAAGCGTGAACAAGATTCGGATTTTCAACACCAATTCAGTCAATTCCGTGCTTCTATATGATTCAGAAACTTGGCGCGTTACGAAAAGCCCTTTCGACAAACTACAGACATTCATCAACAGCTGCCTATGCTCGATACTGAAGATCAGAATAGATGGCCAGAAAGAATAAGCAATAAGGAACTCTGGGAACGAACCAACCAAGAACTTATCACCCAACAAATATGCACTGGAAAGAAGTGGAGATGGATTGAGCATACACTGAGAAGGCCAACTGAGGACATCACGCACCAGGCAGTCAAGTGGAATCCAAAGGGGAAACGATGAGTTGGGAGTCCGAGGTGAGAGTGATATGGAGGAGATGATGTGAGGAATAAATGAGAGCTTGTGGGCAGTGGTGGAGCTAGGTTGAGAAGACTGCAGAGAAGAGAGTGAAATGGATATGTGCTACAGAAGCCCTACGTTTTACTAGGAACCCAAGGGGAAAATAATACTAATAATGAATTCAATTCAAGAATATCGGAATTATCTATTGCAGAGAATGAAACAATGGTAAGTTATGATGTTGTTTCACTGTATACTAGTATTCCCATTGAAAAATGTTTAGAGTTCATAAGTGAATTACTAGAATGTGATTTACACGTTGGCCGATAGATCTGCATTGAACCCCAGCCTCATCATGAAAGTACTCAACTTTTTTGTTTAAAATCAACACTCCAAACTAATAGAGTAGCTATGGGTTCTCCGGTGTCTCCTATCGTTGCAAACTTTTCAAGTCCCATATTGAATGAATCATCTTTTCGAACATCATCAAACCACGTATTTGGCTCAGATACGTAGATGATACATTTGTAATTTTTAAAAGATCTGGCCTCAGAATCTGTATGAAATTAATTAAAACTTATTCTGGACATATTAAGTTCATATGTGAATATGAAAATGCAAGCGGTGAAATACTATTCTAGACTGTTTAGTTAAAAGGAATGGAAACAAAGTCTAAGTTTATCGATTTCAACTCAGCATATTCACTCAGTGCTAAATTTTCACTTCTTGGAGCTTATTTAGAGAGCCACAAAGTTCATCACAAATGAATATGAGAACGGAAGTAAGTAATATATTAGATGTATTATATTCCAATAACTACCCTGATAATGTCATTTAACAGATCCAAATCTATGAAAAAAGGGACGCAAGAGGAAATTCAAATGATGATTCTTGGATTAGTTCAGTAGTTGTACCATTCCGCCAAGTTACAACTGAAGAGCTACAAAGAATCTTAAGAAAGCACCGAATTAGGACCTTTTACAAGACAACCAACACTCTCAGGAATGCTCTAGTCCACATAAAAGATAAAGTTCCTTTTACCTGCACACAAAATTGTGCCTACAAATAAGAATATATTGACTGTGATGCCTATTATATTGGGGAATCACCTCGCCAGATCCTCATTCGAGCTAAATAACATGGAAGTTAAACAAAACAACCGCCAAATAATCTAGTAGAATTAGAGAATTTATAAATCAAGTTGACAATCACGGTTCACACCATCTATTATAGTCATAAAATCGATATTGAAAATATGAAAATTATTCAAAATGCTTATTCTCAATCTACAAAGAATAGCTGAAGTATTTCATATTATGTTGAATCGTAATGCACTCAATAGAAAAAAAGAAAGGCCTAACTATCCAATCAACCTGGACACTATTTCCGAAAACAATACATCACACACAATGATCTTATCAAAAGTATCTACACACAAACAAACCGGATTTGTCATCCATATTATTTATTTATTTATCCTTACACTTTCACACATCACCTTGAACTCCAGACTAATAATAGATAACAAGGATAGTGAAGGCTTCCTGACCAACATAAGAATGACATTTATTTAAGAGGTAGTATTCATTATGGATTGACATCAGTTGGGGAACCATTGAAAACGTGGGAGCACTGGACAACTGTTTCGTTCAACTAGTATGGGACTCGTCAGCAGTACGCACCCACGACCCGACTAGGGATCGAACTCAAAACCTTCAGGTTTCCCAGCGAACGCGTTAAACATTCAGTCACTGGGTCGGTTTCCAGTGGTTCACGATTCCCAGCTTCTGTCAATTCCCCACATAGCACGACTGTCAGGCAAGGTCTTCAGCTGGCTCCACTTCACTTCCAACTGGTTTGGTTGACCCTACAGGTCACGGCTTCTCATTAGAGCTTCGTGATATCCATCTGGAATCAAGTCACTAATGAGCACTATAGAGTAATGTACTTTTGAGATGAAAGGGAATATTTAATTTAGAAGTAGTATTCATCATGGAGTGACATCAGTTGGGGAACCACTGAAAATCTGTGAGCACTGGACAACTGTTTCGTTCAACTAGTATGGGACTCTTCAGCAGTACTCACCCAGACGCAAGTGAATCGGTTGCTAACTGATGACCTTGGATGATAGTCGCGCTATGTGGTGAATTGACAGAAGATGGAAATTGTGAACTACTGAAAACCGACCTAGTGGTTGAATGCTTAATGCGCTCGCCGTGAAACCTGAAGGTCCTGAGTTCCATCCCTAGTCGGATCGTGGGTGCGCGCTGCTGACGAGTCCCATACTAGTTGAACGAAACAGTTGTCCAGTGCTCCCAGATCTTCAACGGTTTCCTAGCTGATGTCAGTCCATGATGAATACTACTTTCAAATTAAAGATCTACATTCATCTCAAAAATACAATAATGACATTTATGTTCATATTATTATCATACATGAACAACATGATCTGATTAATCATCATCTACTATTTAAACAGTCGATAACTTGTACAGGTTTTATTCTTTGAAGAAGCGATTTCCGTGAAATCACGAAAATGTTAGAAATTAATTTTTCTACTTCATTGGGATTTTACAGAATATATTTCATCTATTTATTTACAATAACTTGAAATGTATAAATTTTGAGGGAGTTGTGGAGATTTGGAAATATTTCAAGTTGTTATTCATCGAAGACTGACATCAGTTAGAGGAACAAAGGAAACCTGGGAGCACTGGATAGCCGTTTCGTCCTGGTATAGGACTCCTCAGCAGTTGGAAATATGGAGCATTGGATTCTGACCCAGTGGCTAGCTCGATGGTAACGCGCTGGCCGCGGAACCTGAAGGTCGTGGGTTCGATCCCAGTTGGTGGGGTCGTGGGTGCGCACTGCTGAGGAGTCCCATACTAGGACGAAACGGCTGTCCAGTGCTCTCACGTTTCCTTTGTTCCTCCAACTGATATCAGTCTACGATGAATAACAACTTAAAATGTATAAATTATCCACAATATCATGTTTTATTTATTATTTCAAACTAAGAAATCGAGTTATTTATCCACTTTCAGTTGATAAGATAAACTATATCAATGAACTCACTTGTGAGTTTTTAAATTCAAGATACAATGAGAATAATAAATGTAGGGAGTGTATTCGATTGTTGCACACTGGGATATCTAAAAGGGCTATATAGATAAATGAAAAGAAAAACAAAAGGTGAAAGAAACAGTACAGAGAGATTAATTTCGTAACTGATTTAATCACTTAAAATTATTTGAAACATTTAATTTCTATTAAGAATTTCGATAGCATAATTAGAAGATGAAATTTATCTGAACAAAGATTTGTGAAATACACATTTTGAACAATCTGATCCTATACATATTTACTTGTCAAGTCAATTTATATTAAACCGAAGAATTGGGGAACTAGTACAATAACTAAGATAAGCAGGAGATCAAAATTAAGAAAGATAAGAACAAACACGAAGTGACCTAGTTGATCTTAATCTTCGTAAGAAAATAAAGTTTATCAAGGGGTAAGTGTAATGTAAAAACAAATTGTTTTTGTACACATAAAGGTGGTTTAAATTTGTGTACAGCTATCGCTTCTGTAAATCTTAGTATATGTCTCTGACTGTTTCTATGTAAAACTTTAAAAGCTGTTTGAATATTAATTTTGTGACCTGTTTCTATGATATGTTTAGCTGTAGATGAAGTGGTTCGTCTCCCACCAGCGTTTATCACCACTGTTTCACAATCCATTTGTTTTTGAAACCATTTAGTTACATGTTCTCCCAGCCTCAGCTACATGACTCGGTTACTGCTTCCTATTTATGTATGACTAGATACACATGTAAATTGGTAAACACAATGGGATGTGACGTAATCATTGATGCAGTGTTTCGATGAAGCATATGTTTTGTTTTTTCCACAATGATAAGATTCTCCACGTAAAACGTTTTCTTAATGCCGGATGTCACCCAATGTCTCAAAATGACACTAATCAATTCCTCTCTGTATGGTACAGTGATAATGGACGTTTATGAAGTACAATTACTCAAAGTATTTTATCATTAATTAAACGTATTCGATGACTTCACATTGGTAAGCTCAATCAAATTAATTTCAATATTCACTTAACTCTTAAAAAGAAATCCAGAAACTCAGCTCAGGTTCTTTACATATACATAACGTAGACTGAGACAGAACCTCACCTGGTTAACTAGTTCACTAGTTACTAGCCGGTCCTAAGCCCGGAAAAAGAGAGAAGGTTGGGCTTAAGGCTAGCAACCTTACTCTGGCAAACCAATCCAATCGATAAACAAACTTCAAAGCACAAAGAAAATATAAAACACAAACTTATTCCTTGCTGAAATCTGGAAGACGAAATGACGCCAGCTGGTGAAAACCTTGATCTCACTCTCTTCGCTGCAGTCTTTTCAACCTGACTCCATGACTGCCCACAAGCTTTAATTTATTCTTCACACAATCTACTCCATATCACCCTCAGACACTCAACTCGTCATTTCCCATTTGGATTCCAGTCGACGGCCTGTCCTAGTGTGTGGTGTCCCCAAATGATCTTCCAACTGTACGCTCAATCCACCTCCACTTTCTTCCATAAATTCGTTGGGCGATGTGTTCTAGGTTAGTTGGTTGGATGCCAGGGCAGCTTATTCTCTCTGGCCATCTGGTCTGATCTTCAGTATCGAGTGGGCGTAGGTGGCAGCTGTTCATGTATGTCTGCAGTTTGTTGGAAATGCTTCCCATAACTCGCCAAGTTTCTCAAACATCATTTACAAGCATTAAGTTCCTTGCCTGAATTTGTGTTGAAAATCCAGATCTTGTTCAGGCTTTATGCTGAGTGCAATGCGGTGTAGTGCAGTAGATGTCCACACTGATAATTTCACATCAATGCATGAAGGTTTGTCTTGCTGTCTTTCCTATCCTGGATTCGACTTCCTCATCTGTGCCTGTGCTGCCTGTAGTTGAAACGATGCCGCCTAGGTAGGTAAGTAAGTAGGTAAGAGACAAATTCCTTTGGATTTCTCTCGTTGATGGTGATTGGTGCTTGTTGTTGATGCTGTTATTGGTTGGGTATCTTCACCACCTCTGTCTTCTCCACGTTCCCCTGTAGTTCCTCCATCTTCGCTACCCTACCTCTTTTGTCAACTTGTTATTTTTTGCCTGTAAATCTTCGAGTTTGTGCGACATGATACTGGACATAAATCATCATTGTTGGCGAAATCCAAATCTTCTGGGTCGTTTCATTGGTCAAACAGCGTATACCCATGTTCTCACAGCTTCTCATAGTTGTTTGTTGCATGATCCAGTCCAGTTGATTGCAATCATAAAGATCATCGGTGATTGTAGGTAGTCTTGTCTTACTTCTGTCTTCACTTCAAACACATCACTGAGCTTTGCGTTGTGAATTACTCGGCATGTAGCATCATATGGTGTAAAACTGGTGTTGAATGAGGTTGATGCAGGTTTGTGGAACTCCTCGGTGTTGAAGCAGCTGGCTGCCATATTGCTTCTCGATCGACGCTATCGAAGGCCTTTTTAAAGTCGATGAAGTTGATGTACAGGTACAGTGGATTGGCATTCTATGCTGTGTTCTATGATGATGCATAGCGTCGTGTTGGAATTTGATCCATACATGATTTGCTCTTCTTGAGGCCAGCCGGCCTGTTCCGGTCGATATTTGGAATGCAGAGCATTTTTTGGTCTCTCCTGGCTTATGCTACCTAATATTTTGCTTCGGGTGGACAAGAGCATGATTCCATGTCAGTCGTTGCAAAGCCTTAGGTCTCCCTTCTTTGGTAGTTTAACAGGGTAGCTCCTTTTACAATCTGCGGGTATCTTTCTTTCCTTCCAAACTTTCTTCAGTATTGTTGTGAGCATGTTTGCTGCTGTATTGGCGTCTGTTTTCAGTGCTTCTGAAGGAATTCCATCTGGTCTTGCTACTTTCTCGTCTTTCAGTAACTTTATGGCGTTGGAAAAGCTTATGCATTCTTATGTATCACCCAGACAGAATTTAATTTATATGTCATAATATATTCAAAAGAGATAGGCATTTACAAAAAGTTTTTTGACATACCACATATGATATCCACATAATCTTTTAGACTACAGTCTAATTGGGAAGATGGAAGTTGTACATTTTGTAAGCATTCTTCAAATGTTGTTGGCCATTCAGCCATAAGTTGAGATATTTCAGGCATATTCCTGAGGGAAATTAAATTAAAACAAGAAGGAATGTACTGAATATGAGTTGTTGGTGTTTATATTTATTTGGAAACATAAAACTGAAACAGTATTTGGAGATCGTTTGTTTGGTTGCGGCTGGCAGAAGAATCCAGGACGCGCGTTTCGTCCTATTTGGGACTCGTCAGCTGGATGTACCCGCACCCCAGTGATGTTGTTCCCACTGAAACGCGCGTCCTTGATTCTTCTGCTAGTCACAACCAACCAAATTATCATAATTAACATTTGGGCAGTATCGAGGCATCCTCATAGGAAACCATATGTCAATAGAGGTCGAACAATTCGATCCAATACAACAACGGAGAATTACAAGTATATCAACAAATAGTAGTATTTAGAGAATCACTGAAAACATAGGAGCAGTAGACAGAAGTAGAAAAATATGGACCAGAGGATTCTCATCCAGTGGTCAGTGGTGACCTGCTCACCGCAGAACCTAAGGGTCCTGGGTTCGATCCTTGGCGGTCATGGGTGCGTACTGCTGAGGGGTCCCATACTAGGACGAAACAGCTGTTCAGGTATTCGGTAGTTCTTCAGCTGATGTCAGGATATGATAACAATGCTTGAAACTAACAAAATCCGCGCAAACTGGTATGCCGAAGAGTGAAACAATTTTTGTTTAAATAACCTATTATCTTTTGTATGCTTATTGAATTCCAGAAGGAATTATGAACCAAGTGATGATGATTATATTTCTAATCATTACTGAAATTCTATTCATCTGGGGAAAACTATTAGCACATAATACCTGCCGTTTGATGATTAACTACTGTGATTGGATATATAAGAATGTCAATGTTCCTTACATTATATGGTGCTAATCAACTCACAAGTCTCTTTCACCCACCTAGGCAGCATCGTTTCAACTACAGGCGGCACAGATGAGGATGTCAAAGCCAGCCAGGATCGGAAAAGTAAGGCAAGCCCTCATTAATCTAAAATCAGTGCGCAGATCTACTGAACTCAGCATAAAAAACAAGGTCCGGATTTTTGAACACTAATTAAGTCAAGGAAGTTAGTGCTTCTGTGTGATGGTTGAGAGACTTGGCGCGTCACGAAAAACATTTCCAACAAACTATAGACATACATGAACAGCTGCCGCCTGCGCTCAATCGATACTGAAGATCAGATTAGATGGCCAGAAAGAATAAACCGAAACAAAATAATCTGGCCTGGTATCGAACAAACCAAGAACCTATCACCTAACAAATATGCACTGGAAAGAAGTGGAGATGGATTGAGCATACACTGAGAAGGCCAACTGAGGACATCACGCACCAGGCAGTCAAGTGGAATCCAAAGGGGAAACGATGAGTTGGGCGTCCGAGGCGAGAGTGATATGGAGGAGATGATGTGAGGAATAAATGAGAGCTTTTGGGCAGTGGTGGAGCTAGGTTGAGAAGACTGCAGAGAAGAGAGTGAAATGGATATGTGCTACTGAAGCCCTACGTTTCACTATGAACCCAAAGGACAAATAATGATAATAAAAGTCAAGTCAGAATGACCGTCATAAAGAGTAGTGGATTTGTTCCTAAACAGTGTACATGTGGATCAGTTGTTGAGATACTAAAATTAATGAAATCAAAACCTACTATTTGTATAAAACTAATGGTATCATGAAAAAGGTTCTTGGCCAGTTTATGTAATAAACAAAGTATGTATTGACTGTTGTTCTGAAAGTTTACGTTTCATGGGTGAGAAACATTTTCTAGCTATGCTTAATAACTAGCTGACTACTAACCTGAAAAAAAACTATTAGACGTCTCACAAAACACATCGAAGTAGGCTGGTTTAAGACCAAAAAATGCTAATGATTTTTTTAACCAACAACCTCTTCTTCACAGCTTTTTAAAGTTTCATTTTATAATATTTAGCTATTAATGGAGACTGTTTGAGAGCTGTGGATGGTAGACTGTTTTTATTAGTGTTAGATATTGATTGGTAGTGAAGTAAAAACGTGTGTCACAGCAGGATTCGAACAGGTGAATACTGGTCCACTGTTTTACCAATTGAGCTACGAAACGAAAAGTCTGCTCAGGTTTTATCTTAACTATAATCATCAAGACTTTTTCTCTAGCTATCATTTGAATTTATGATATGTGACTGTCTGTTCACAGAATGATCCAGTCAACAGTTAGGCGCCGTAGCTCATTTGATAGGATTTGCAGCCCGTGACTCAGTGGCGGCCAGTTTGTATTCACCAGAAACCAGGTTTCATTTCACACTCAATCATCATCCAGTATCAATTATTATTATTTGTCCCTTAGGTTCATAGTGAAACGTAGGGCTTCAGTAGCACGTCTTCATTCCATTCCCTTCTCTGCAATCTTTTCAACCTGGCTCCACCACTGCCCACAAGTTCTCATTTATTCCTCACATCATCTCCTCCATGTCACCCTCACCTCGGACGCCCAACTCATCGTTTCCCATCTGGGTTCCACTCGAGCAACTGGCCTGGCACGGAATGTCCCCAGTCGGCCTTCTCATTGTATGTCCAATCCATCTCCACTTCTTTCCAGTGCATATTTGTTGGGTGATAGGTTCTTGGTTGTTCGATACCAGGCCAGATTATTTTGTTTCGGTTTATTCTTTCTGGCTATCTAATCTGATCTTCAGTAACGAGCCAGCATAGGCAGTTGTTAATGAATATCTGTAGTTTGTTGGAAATGTTTTTCGTAACGCGCCAAGTCTCTGAACCGTACAGAAGCGCTGACTTGACGTTGGTGTTGAAAATCTGGATCTTGTTTTTTATGCTGAGTGCAGAAGATCTCCACACTGGTTTCAGGCTAATGAACGCCTGTCTTGCTGTCTTTTCCGATTCTGCCTGGCTTTGACGTCGTCGTCTATGCCGTTTGTAGTTTAAACGATGCTGCCTAGACAGGTGAAAGAGGCTGCTTCTGTTAAGTTTCTCCCGTTGATGGTGATTGGAGCTTGTTGGTGTTGTTGGTGGCGTTGGTTGGGTATCTTCATCACCTCTGTCCTCTCAACGATCCAGTATGAATATTTAATTATATTCATCATCATGTTTTCCAACCTTAATCTCTTTTAATCTATATCACTTACATTAATCCCACTTGATAGTTACTTGCAAATGTAAATAAAGCTTATTCACGTATTTTTCTTGTAATTAAGGAATGATGAATAAAATTGAAATAAAACGTAGCATCATATCAACATTAGAACAAAATGTTTTCAAATTACTGTCCCAGTGAAATAAACATGAGATCAGCTCAGCAGTTTTGCTTTTTGTTTAACTTTTATGTAAGAGTTTTTTTAGTAATGGAGAAATTCCTAAACCCTGAAAAGAAGTGTATCTTCTTACTCATCATCTCATATCGTCTTATTAAGTGTCCTATTATTTGCTGATCTATTTTATAAACTTATAGGGGCTGTGAATACCATTTTTTTCCTGAAAGTTGGTTAAATTGTAAATATCTTTCAATAGTTAGTGATGGATCGTGGCTAGCAGTGGAATCCAGAATGCGCATTTCGTTCCATTTGGGACTCACCGGTCGTTGGATGTACCTGCTTCCCAGTGAGTGATGTTGTTCCTACCGGGATTCGGATTCGGGAGCGACCGCTTCAAACGCCAGTGCATTATCCACTACACCACCGAGCTACGATAGCCGCTTCTTGTGCGACGGGTATAGAGACCGATCAATTCGATCGGACGGAAGTCTAGTCCGAGCTTCTTTAGGAAAATAATCAAAATATCAAGGATATATAAATAAATTCAAAAAACGTATATTTAATCTTCTCGTCCAATCCTCTTCGTATAGTCCATTGTCTTCCTAAATTATGATAACTAATCATTCAGTGTGAACTTGTATGTCTTTTGTTGCATGGCGTATGTATGTACGTACTCCAATTCATATTCATCTTGATTGTAAATATCAGACAAAAAGGACATTGGTGATAGTCGTTCAGTTGTTTTTATAAGTATAAATTAAAAAGGATGAGGTGATGTGTATACAATTTCAGTTGAAGTAAGGTGGTGAATAGTGTTAGCGAATTCTCTCCGCATTGATTTACCGATATAGAGTGTAAATGAGTGGTAGTTGTGATGGTGTTGATGATAATAATAATAATAATAATAAATAATAATGATGAATCAGATCAGTGCAGGTTGTGTTGTAGTTGATGAGGAAATAATGGAGTTGAGAACAGTGTTTTGAGTCACTTTTTCTGCTTACTAATTAGTAATTGCCAAGAGGCGGCTAACTGTACTGCATTCGTCTGTTCAAACTGTCTGGATTCGCCCATATATGTAGGACCTCGGCTATCAGTCTTTCTTGGTATGATCCAAAACCTTTTTGTAGAACCTTAGTTCCGTCAAAGTCGATTTTGTGTCCCGTTTCTATGGAGTGTAACACGATCGCGGATTTGTTTTCTAGTTTCTTAACCTCTACTGAGGTTTTTGGGATCTGCTTTAAGCATAGTTTATGCTCATTGACTCTCACATTTACTTACTGGCTGTTTCCCCTACATATACTGCAATACAATTTCCGCATTTGATTTCATAGACGCAGTTTTGCTAATTTTCTTTAGGTACTACATCTTTAACTTTCATTAAGTTAGAACGTAGGGTATTTGTTGCACGGAAGTAAACTCTTATGTCGTGTTTGTTGAGAATCCTTCTTATTTCTTCTGAAGTCTCTTTTCGGTATGGGATTATGATAGTGCTTGTCCAATTCTTCGGAGGGATTTTTGGGACATCTTTAATTTCATTTTTTATAATACGTCTAACGATAATTATTTGCTTCCAGTGTGCGGCAAACTAACTTTCATTCTTCTTTCTTGTCTTCTTCCTGCTAATCAGATTCCGTGCGGCAGTTACCTTAGTAGTCAAAGGATGTGCAGACTGATAATCGAGATATGTCAAAATGTGGTACTTTTCTGAGTATCTTAATCTTTAGTTTGTTGTAATCCGTCTTTCCACTATACAGTCCATAAAGTTTAATTTCTACAAATTGGATCCAACTTCCTCGGTGAAAGTGATACTTCCGCACACATTATTTATGTCACTGAAGAGTTCATCTAGACTGTTTTGTTTGATAATGACAAACGTGTCGTCTATGTACCTTATTCAAATTCTTGGGGGTATAGAGCAATTTGCAATAGCATTTGTCTCTAAGGAATGCATGAACAAATTAGCTACTATTGGTGATATTCGAGATTCCATTGATATACCGTCTGTCTGTTGATACAGATCCCTCTGAACGTGAATACAGTGGGTCGTAAGCATAATTCCAGGGACTTTAAAATTTCTCCCGGATCTAATGGACAACGTGAACTTAGGTCAGTATATGACAGCAGTAGGTTATGAATGATATCTAATGCATCTTTAATAGTCACGTTAGTAAATAAAGAGCAAACATCAAAACTTGTCATTATTTCATCTTCTTCAATGTAAGATGAAATAATTTTATTCATGAATTCAGATGAATTCTTTATTACATAATTTAATTCCTTTTCGTATGGTTTTAGGATTCGTGAAATGTATTTTGCTAAATTGTATTTGGGTGGGTTAGTAAAATCTACAACTTGTCTGAGAGGTAATATAACACTTGCCAGGAGCAGAATAACTGATACTATGAATTACTACTTCTCTGGTATTGATGATAGGATACATTAATGATTCCATAGTAGTGAATACAGTATTTCTCAACTTACTTTTTTTATCATTATAAGAATCTAACGTTTACAAAAGCCATGTACTGATTAATGACAGACACGCATATAATTTCCCGTTGCTATACAGGGTCGAATCGCTCGACCTCTGCTAGTAGATAAGCTCCTATGCAGATACTTCAATGCTGCCAGATACCCGTGATGTTATATTCATCTTGACGGTACGCAGCAGAATCCAGGATGGCTTGTTTCCCCTAATCAGAACTCGTCAGCTGGATATAGGTGCACCCCAGTAAGTGATGTTCTTCCCAGTACCCATCGCTTCACCAAGATGAATACAACATAATAGATATCTGGCTGCACCGAAGCATCCTCATGGAAGCTCATATGCAAACTGTAGTTGAGCAACTCTACCCTTATAGCAACAAACGATGCTCATTGCATAAGTGGCAGATCTTGTCCCAAGGGCCTGGTGGGTACTGGTTTCGAGCTTCCACTCACTGAGTGGAGGTACATCCTGTTGGCCAGTCCCAAACAGGACGAAATGCGCGTTCTGGATTCCACTGCATATCACAAAGATGAATACAAGAGTATATAGTAATGTTCATAACAACAGTAATACTTTTCATATTTATTTCTTCTACTTACCTGACATACTGTACAGTTGGTGGAGGTTTTGACCTATGCAGATCTGTAATACTTTTAATCCAATTGTCTACTGCTTTTGTTTGTTGTTGAGGATTTTCAATACTTCTAACTGCCTATAGGTAAGAGAATAGAAATACACCAGAATAGTTTTATACTCAGAAGACAGAAAATGTAGATTTACATCGTATACATTTTTGACTCTTTAAAAAGATCTCCTTGTGTGTAACTCGTGGAATTCTGCAAATCTGGACACCTTTGTTCAGTATTAAAGATGGGATCTTGTTACGCAAAGATGTTTCGAGAATCATCTGAACTACAGTAATATATATATATATATATATATATATATATATATATATATATATATATATATATATATATATATATATATATATAGCTTTTAAAAACTGAACTACTCTTTACCAGTGTTCTATCAACTATGTATATTAAAAACTAAGTAAGTGTATTTGCTGCATATCATATAATCCTTACTACGTTCATTATTATTGATAACATCCTGTCTAAATAGCAATCTATTTCAGTTAGTTTATGGATAACTCACTTGTACTTTTTACTGCAAAACCTAATAACATTTGTTTAAATCTATCAGAAAATATCAGTTCCCCTGATATGTTAAATACACCTTACTGCAGAGTGCCAACAAGTAGAAAATCTCAGTTCAAGGTTTCCTGCTTTGATTGACTCGAATTGTGTAACTTATACGTTTATATCCACTGACTAAGACATCATAGTTGACTTGGAACTAAATCTCATTTATTTTCAGTATTGCAAATAAAAGCTGTAGATGATATAAAGGTCATACAAATATTATAATTCTGACAACAGAGACATCTACGTAAACACTGAATGCTGAAAACTCCAGAATGGTTGTAATGGTGTATGTATAAACGAAGAAATATTTCTTTTCAACAACTAAAACTGTAAGTCTTAGAATAATACTATCTAATAACGGATACCCTAAAAGATTTATTGATAAGAATCTGAAGAAACAAACCACTCCCCATCCAATTACAGTCCCTAAGAAAATTTTAACCATGAATCTAGAATTCAAATGAGACACCACAGCGGAAGTGTTGGAAAATCGTCTGTCAAGATGTATCAATAGTAGCTTGTATGCTGCTAGACTGAGATTGATATTCTCCAGCCGCCGTCTGATTCGTCAATGCGTGAAGGATAAGCTTCCACTTTCATCCACATCTGTGTTTATCTACAAGTTCACATGCTCCTGTGGAGCTGACTATATTGGACGTTGTAAGCAGGCCTTCCGAAAACGTGTTGCTGAACACTAGTCGGTTTGGCTTACCAGAGGCGAGTAAAGGAAGACGACTTATCCATATGTGAACACCTTGTTGAATTTGAACACTCAGCACCTCGAGATTCATCCTTTAATACAAAGTTAAATTGAACCACTCCAAAGGTTTACGTTGCAACCACTTATGCATAGCTGACGCATTAGCTATACAAGAATAAAAACCGAAACTTTGCATTCAAAAATGCTTTGTGAAACTACACTTTCTCTACCTTGGTCTTAACAATTCAGTTTGTTGATTTTGTCAATTTCAGTTCACTTCACTTTGGTATACTTCTCTTCTATTATCACCATTATCACCAATTTTCACTTCATTGACAACACTTGAACCATATTTCACTGTTTAATATCAATTAATTTCCTTGTTCATTAACCTATTCTACATGTTTCAGCTTAATTATCACTGTTTTACAATTATTTGACAACACTTGTCGCTTATCTCACCACTTGTTATCAATTCGTTCCTCCTTTTTCAATGACGCATTTTCTATCTCTTCCACTTGAACAAATACCACCACCCACCTCCACCGATTGTAAATTTTGTATATTGACTGAGCAAGTCTCTTTTTAGTGCAATTATCTGTCACTTTACCGAGTATAAATACGACTACTGTAGAGCTTAATAATGAAGTCGTTGGAAAAAAATATTTCGGTGATACATGCCTTGTTCTTGTTAATGAATAAATGGGTATATTTCGTCAGTATAATGGTGTAGAGGATATACTTATTCGACTAAAAAAATACCAGTAACTATGTAAACGCCGCTAAAAATAATCACCGATACTGACTTTAAAAATGTAAAATTTTACGCAATATGTCAACAGAAGACATTACTTACCTTGATCATTAGATTCCCATTCCTAATCAGTCGTTGTTGAATAATACCAAAGACATGAATGTAATGCTCATGGTAACAAATTTGTAATTAGAATAAAGATGAACTTAGTGTTATTGCCTGGATTCCACTGCTAGCCACTGCCCATCATTACTGATGATGAACTTATTTGGAGTAGAAGTTTAATTCAATTACTAATGACAGTTCTGTAAATATATTTCTCCAAATAAGCCCGGGATTAAAATACACTTAAGTTGGTTTCTAAGTTAATTAGAATCAGAATAAAAAGAACTAAGCTTTTACTGAGATATTTCAACTTGTTATTTATCGTCGACTGACATCAGTTAGGGAACCATTAAAAACCTGGGAGCACTAGACAGCTGCGTCGTCCTAGTATGGGGCTCCTCAGCAGTGCGCACCCACAACCCTGCCACGGATCAAACCCATGACCTTCAGGCTCCGTGGCCAGCACGTTACCACTGAGCCACTCGGTCAGAATCCAGTGGTCCATATTCCCAACTTCTGTTAGCTCACAATATAGAGCAACCGCCACTCAATGTCATCGTTGAGTAACTGTCCTCACGACCATCAGGCTTTGCCCCCATCGGTCATGACTTCTCATTGGGACTTGGGGAATATCTCTTGAGGCTAGTCACCAATGAGCACCAGTTCAAATAAATTTTGAGGGAGTTGTGGAGATTTAGAAATATTTCAAGTTGTTACTCATCGTAGACTAACATCAACTGGAGGAACAAAAGATACCTGGAAGAACTGGACAGCTGTTTCATCGTAGTATGGGACTCCTCGACAGTGAGTACTGACGATCCCGCCAGGAGATGGTCTACCGTTATGTATCTTCGAATATCCATTTGTTCAATATCGAAGAACTTGTAATTTTTTTATTATATGAAACATGAACAAAAATGATTGGTTTTGTAAAGTGTCCACTCTTAAAAGAGTCTCATTACCTTTAGTTAATTGGTTCATTGATCTGCAATAAATATTTAGCAATTGCATAATATCAGATATTCATAAACTACTTGGGATAGTTTAATATGACGATGAGATGGAATGATTGTAAACTTTCAAAAGTAGGAACGCTTTTTTGTATCGATGTTATATTTAGTTTATTTATTATTGCTTTTACCGATGATTTCATGGATGGGGGTTCAAAAAACTGCAGAAAACAGAGTGAAATGGAGGCATTCTATTGAAGCCCCTATGTTCCACTAGGAACCCAAGGGGAAAATAAATAAATAACAATTACTAATGATTTCAGGCAACTTGTTTTTTTAGTATAACTGTTTTGATATCATACCGTCATTGATTGGTGTAGTGGATAACGCGCTCCCAAGTCCGAATCCCGGTGGGTAAAACATCACTCACTGGGAAGCAGGTACATCCAGCTGATGAGTCCCAAATAGTATGGAATGCACATCCTGGATTCCACTGCTAGCCACGATCCATCATTAACATAACTAGAAAGCTGGCAATATCGAGGCTTCCGCACAGGAGTCCATATACTAATAGACACCGAACAATTCGGTCAATCAACGACGGTATAATACAAGCAATTGTACTAAACTATACCCGTGGTACAAGAAATGGGTATCGTGGCTCCGTGGTGTAGTGGATAACGATGAAGCGTTTGAATTGATCACTCCCAAGTCCAAATCCGGTGGGAACAACATCACTTACTGGGAGGCAGGTACATCCATCTGATAAGACCTAAATAGGACGAAATGAGCATCCTGGATTCCACTGCTAGCCACGATCCATTATTAACTTGTTTATTTATTCACCTCCCAAGAAATTAATTTATTCTCATCACATTGTATTGAATTCAAACAATTCACATTCTTCTATGAAACCGACCCAGTGGCTGAATGTTTAACTTGTTCGCCGTGAGACCTGAAGGTCCTGAGTTCCATCCCTAGTCGGGTCGTGGGTGCGTACTGCTGACGAGTCCCATACTAGTTGAACGAAACAGTTGTCCAGTGCTCACAGATTTTTAATGGTTCCCCAACTGATGTCACTCCATGATGAATACTACTTCTAAATTAAAAATCCCCTTTCATCTCAAAAGTACATTACTCTATAGTGCTCATTAGTGACTTGCTTCCAGATGGATATCATGAAGCTCTAATAAGAAGCCGTGACCTTTGGGGTCAACCAAACCAGTTGGAAGTGAAGTGGATGCTAACTGAAGATCTTGCCTGATAGTCGCACTATGTGGGGAATTGACAGAAGCTGGGAATCGTGAACCACTGGAAACCGACCCAGTGACTGAATGGTTAACTTGTTCGCCGTGAGACCTGAAGGTCCTGAGTTCCATCCCTAGTCGGGTCGTGGGTGCGTACTGCTGACGAGTCCCATACTAGTTGAACGAAACAGCTGTCCAGTGCTCACAGATTTTCAATGGTTCCTCAACTGATGTCACTCCATGATGAATACTACTTCTAAATACATATTATCATTTTATTGGAATCATCTTTCTAATAGAATATATGAATAGATAGTATAATTTATTACGTTCAATTATAAATACCATTAGATATTTGAACTTACCACTTGTTTCAGTGTAGTTTGTTTAGATAACGCTCTCAATTGTAAATCAAGAACAGTTGGATCATATTGATTTGCGCATGGTTCATCCAAAACAATAAACCTAAATAATCAGGTTTACCATCTGGTCTAGGGATCTAAATTTATTAAAAAAATTAAATAATTGTAAATCACAAAAAAAGGAATCAGATTAGATTGATAACTTCAGATAATTTGTTAACTAATTTCATAAATATTTTTCAATGCAACATGATAAAAATGACTGAATTAGCTTTGAATTTTGAGGGAGTTGTAGAGATTTGGAAATATTTCAAGTTGTTATTCATCTCGTAGACTGACATCAGTTGGAGGAACAAAGGAGACCTGGAATCATTGAACAGCTATTTCGTCCGACTAGTATGGGACTCCTCAGCAGTGGGCACCCACGATCCTGCCAGGGATCGAACCCATGACCTTCAGGTTCTGTGGCCGGCGCGCTACCATTGAGCCACTGAGCCATTAAAATACTTCCAAATCCCCATAACTCTCAAAATTTATTTGAACTGGTGCTCATTGGTGACTAGCCTCAAGAGATATTCCCGAAGTCCCAATGAGAAGTCATGACCGATGGGGGCAAAGCCTGATGGTCGTGAGGACAGTTACTCAACGATGACTTTGAGTGGCGGTTGCTCTATATTGTGAGCTAACAGAAGTTGGGAATATGGACCACTGTATTCTGACCGAGTGGCTCAGTGGTAACGTGCTGGCCACGGAGCCTGAAGGTCATGGGTTTGATCCGTGGCAGGGTTGTGGGTGCGCACTGCTGAGGAGCCCAATACTAGGACGACACAGCTGTCTAGTGCTCCCAGGTTTTCAATGGTTCCCTAACTGATGTCAGTCCATGATGAATACTACTTCTAAATTAAAAGTCGCCATTCATCTCAAAATACATTTAATCATGTCATTTGAATGTATCATATACTCTTGCACATTTTAAAATTGTTTCGAACTGTCCATTTATCGAATCAATAACGAATCAGAGGAAAACTGTTACGTTATGTGGAAATGAACTTTTTGGTGCGAAAAAGTACATTATATTTTTATGTGTCAGATACCTAGGTTGAGTTGTAGATATTTGTACCATCTGAATAAACTACCACCACCAAAATTATGCGAGCATTTCTATTGATTCTTCTTTATGAACCGGACGTCCATCCAGAACCAGTTGGCCATTTCATATTATTGCCTTCAATACTGTTATTGTAGTGGGCGTTGCTGATAACTATGGACACAAGTAGTATATGTTGAGAGAGTGGCAGAATCATAGGGAATTACCGCAATGAGTAAGGTTTCTGCCAAGAGCAACACAAGGGATAACTCAGGCGTATTACAGTGGATGCTGCTGATAAGAATGTATGAAGAGTAGATCAAGAGCAAATCAAGAGAGGAACAGAAGAATAAACGAAGCACATTTGCAAATGACTGGGTTAGTGCAAGGTGTAACATATGTAAAGACTACCGCTTCAATTTCTCGCAACGTACATTCCATCTGATAGTGCCTATCTGCCGTCTCTGTAAATGGTAGTCGCTGCTTCAGGACGTGATGAAGATTCTATGGCTGCAGAGTTCGAAGACGGAAGTCTGCCTCAGAGACTTCCAGCCGTTCGCGGAGCTGGTGGGGGGTTGAGATCTGAAGGCGAAGGTCGCGGTGCTGGGCACGTTGCTGAGGGATAGAGCGAAAGCAGCATATGACGGCGTGGAACGTGGTGACAGGAAGGAGACTTGGAGGCGGAGTTTGACTGTTCAGCGGACAGGAGGCTGGCGATGCAGCAGTTCTGCAGCGCGAAACTGTGAATAGAAGATCCGCTTGTGTTGGCTGTGAAGTTGACCAAACTATTTCGACGAGCACTTCCCACGTTGGACGAGGACGCCCAACAACAGCTACTGGCTGCACAGTTCACTGAAAGTATCCCGAATGCCAGTCAATGCAGCCCAACCCGTACACATTAGTGAAATGGCCAATATGATCAGACAGCTAATGGGTACACGAGTAGCTACAGTGGAGGTAAATAACTGGCAAAAACAAATCGACAACCTTCAGGAAGAGGTTGCTGCACTTCGAATAAACATTAACAAACAGGGTAAATACTTCGCATATGGGAAACCTGGACACTGGCGAAGAAAGTTTCCGGAGAGGCAAAAAAGAAAACGCTTTGAACGATATAAAATGAATTCTGTTCTTCCGACAAGACTAGATATTGTAGGAGCCATAGATCGAGGCGCGGTGTATGCGAATAAATGGTCGGGAGATCGTGTGTCTCATAGATACAGGGCAGCAGTGTCGCTAATAGATTACATCATTCCAAGCAATAACTATTTTGTCTGAAAGTATTGTTCTTGGAGTGAATGTTGAAAAATTAAATGCTGAGAATTCCATACTGTCATACATAATGTCTTGAATAAAGTGATTATTGTTATTATTGAAAAAAACCCTACTGAACACTTTGAAATACTTACAGTGTGAAGTGACAGTGATTATTCACTAAGAAGCTGGAATATGCAAGGATGAACGCTTATGTGAGCCATGTTATAAGTTCACACAAGAGATTAAACTCAAAATCTTTCACCAAAGTTAAAATGACTGAAATTGTTCGCTTCTGTTTCAGCTCTCCCTAATATCACTAACAGTTATAAGTGTAAAACTTGGGCACTGTGGTCGAGTGTAATTCCATTTTAGTTTGTTTATTAGAGATAAACACAGTGGAGAAACAGTAGCATTTACTGGATAACGTTTCGGACACAATTTATTGTCCATATTCATATAGGCAGGTAACTCCACAACTTCGAGACAGTTTTTATATATTCCTAGTTTTCTCTCCTTCTCTGTGATGATAAGGGTAGTAGAATTTTCCATATATCTGGACAAGTGCAGCATCATTTCGATTGCATGTGTTAGTTTTCAACACTGTCGCCCTATCCCACCCTACTGTGTGTCATAGAATGCAGAGTTATAGCCGAGTTTTTCTCTAGATTTCTTATCTTATTAGGATCTACTAATCTTGATTTAGCTAAGTTTTTGGGTTCTGTTATTCTAATCGACCCTGACTAGTCAACTGCTTTGACCTATGTACTTGACCTCGCAATCATTGCAAGGGATCTGGTAAACCAATTATCATGCTTAATTACATCATAGGATCTTTTAACCTACAAAGCTTGTTTCTAAGTGAGTTCGTTGGTTTGAATGCCACTTTAATCTCAGCCATATTGAGTTTCAGTAAAAAAAAACTAGTAACTTCTGAAGCTGTATGTAAGTCAGGCTGACAACTCTAAAGTATATTGAAATGTGTGCGTATATGAGCGCGTGCGTGCGTGGATCAACGTTCTATTGAAACATCTGTTTAGAACAAAAGTTTTTAAAAGTGCTTGCATAATGATGACACAAATGTTAGTTTTTATATACTTCAGTAGCTTTGTTTAAATAGCTTCAAAGGAAAAGGTTCATCTAATGCCTTTCTACAAAGTGTCACCAAATCATTCGCCTCATTTTCAACTGCATTTTAGTTGCATTAGACTACACCACAGCACAGATATAACAGAAAGGTATTCAGGAATAAGTTGTCACTATCCAGTAAAACGTTACTAGTCGTCAATCAGAAGACATCAATCTACTATCAATCTCTTTTTCAAGGAAGAGGTGTTATAAGTGTCCGGAAAGATTGCTAAAATCCTCATAAGAAGCCTCATTTGCCTAAAGCTTTTTTAAATCAATCGTTTCGCTTTGAAGTTTTGAGGAAAAACACATTGAACCAAACAAGCAAGTCTCAGGTTGATTAAAGGGCTGAAAAATCAATAGACCTCGAAATAGCCTTTCGCCATTGTAATATATATAAACCTTGTATTTTGTATATATTATTTACGTTGCAAAATGCATCATCTTTTCCATTATCACCTTTTTTATTTGTGAAAAACTGAGTGACCACTAATGGTGAAATCTAATGTCACTTGTAGAGATTTACAAAGTTTCGACTGAAGTTATAAACTAGTTATCTTACCTTTAAAAACGCATCGATATCTCCAACAGCTGGCATATAATCTGGGATGAATGGTTTCAATTTTGTTTCTAATTCAACTGTTTGTGGTGTATATCTTAATTGAGTAAAAAAAAGGATGCGTTGAGTTTCAGCATAACTTCACTAAGTTACTTCAGGTTACCTTTGTATGTATTGAAACATTTCTTTAATTTCAGACGACACTGCCAAATGTTCATAATCCCCTGGATTATAGGCACTGAAAGATGGAGAAAAATATTTTCATACAGAATTAAACAGTAGTAATTTATTTCACTGACTGTATTGAGTACTAACAAATATCAGTAAGTAGTCGAGGTTTATCAACCATAGCATGCGAACACCTATACCAATTTGGAAATCCGTCTCAAACATTGTACATATATATAAACTCTCCTAGTTCACTAGCCGGTCCTAAGCCCGGAAAAAGATGGAAGGTTGGGTTGGCAACTCTGTCCTGTAAAATTAATCCAACCGTTGAAGACACTTCAAAACACAGAGGAAATATAAGAAATTAAAAATAAACTTAGACGAAATGACGCCGGTTGGTGAAAGCCTTTGGGAAGCCAATCGGCTGATGTGTCTTCGCTTCTCTCGATGAAAGAGAAAGTAGGAATGGGGACATGGAATATCCGCATCATGTATGAACCTAGCAAGGCTACCCAGATTTCCAAAGAGATGAGAAGGTATAACATAGAAGTGCTTGGAATCTACGAGAGTAGATGGAATGGGGGTGGACTCTTCAAAACTGTCAACTCTGATGTTGTCATCCAGACGACAACCACGAACACACTGAGTTTTGGAGTAGCTATCATGATGTCCTCAACAGCATCGAAGGCTCTCATGCAGTGGGAACCAATCTCTTCCTACATGATCTTGACAGCAAGGTTCAACTCAAAAGTAAGGAAAGTCACAATCTTACAATGCTACTCTACTCACCTACGAATAATGCAGACCAGGAGGAGGAGGAGGAGGAGCAATTCTATAGACAGCTGCAATCGGTAATGGACAAGACTCCAGTTGGCGATATCAAAATTCTAATGGGTGGGTGACGTGAATGTCGAACTGGGAGCAGACAACACAGGAAAAGAACTGATCATGGGTCGAGAGGCATTCAGTGAAATGAATGAGAATGGAGAACTGTTTGGAGACTTCTGCGCCTTCAATGACTTAGTGATTGGAAGCAATGCAGTGTGTACAAACACAAGGATATTCACAAAGCGACATGAATTTCACCAGATGGAAACACTAAAAATCAGATCGATTTGATTTCAATCTGAAGAAGGTGGAAACGCAGCCTACTGGACACAATCAAAAAAGGAGCAGATGTAGTTACGGAAACCTGCGCGGAAGAATATTGGAACTCTGAAAGCGACGTGGAAGAGAATCTTCATAACCGTGTTAGGAAGAAAAAAGAAGAAAGAGAAGGAATAGATCTCGACGGACACATGAAAGCTGATACAGCAAAGCAAGATGGGGAAGTAGAAGATGAACCAGCGCAAGAATGAATAACGGAAAAAGCAAGTGACTACAAACTATTAAACATTGGAGAAAGAAGTGAAGAGTTTTGCGCGCCAAGACTAAAGACACTTTTACAACACACTTGCAAGTGAAGTAGAACAGACTGCAGGTAAGAGAGATCTAACAACATTATATCAAATAACTAGGACACTACCTGAGAGGGAAGAGATCAAGACCGATGAAACCAGTGAAGATGGTGAAGGAAACTTAGTTATCAAAGAGGAGATACTAGGTAAACGATACTGTGACCACTTCAAAATACTCCTGAATCGATCACTGCCTGCAACTTGTCTGCAAATATCACCAGCAGCCACAGAACTATCGGTGAACACAAATCCTCCGACAAAAGCAGAAGTGAAGTCCGGGACGCCATAAAGTTACTGAATCCGGGAAAACAGCAGAACCAGATGGAATCTTGCCAGAAGCACCGAAAACAGATGCAGAGATTTCAGAGGACATGCTAGTACCACTATTGCAGAAGATTTGGAAGTAAGGAATTAAAGGTACCTGCCAATTGGAAGAAGGGCTACCTTGTCAAACTCCCAAAGAAGGGAGACCTAAGGCTTTGCGAGGACTGATATGGAATCATGCACTCGTCCCTATCCACTCCAAGTAAAATATTAGGTCACATCGTTCGAGAGAGACTAAACAATGCTCTGCATTCCAAATATCGACCGGAACATGCTGGCTGGCCTCAAGAAGAGCAAACCATATGTGGATCAAATTGCAACACGACGCTATGCATCATCATAGAACACAGCATAGAATGCCAATCCACTGTACCTGTACATCAACTTCATCGACTTTAAAAAGGCCTTCGATAGCGTCGATCGAGAAGTAATATGGCAGCCAGCTGCTTCAACACCGAGGAGTTCCACAAACCTGTATCAACCTCATTCAACACCAGCTATACGCTACATGATGCTACATGCCAAGTAATTCACAACGCAAAGCTCAGTGATGTGTTTGAAGTGAAGACAGAAGTAAGACAAGACTACCTACAATCACCGATGATCTTTATGATTGCAACAAACAACTATGAGAAGCTGTAAGAACACGGGTATACGCTGTCTGACCGATGAAAAGACACCAGAAGATTTGGATTTCTCCAACAATGATGATTTATGTCCAATATCTTGTCGCACAAACTCGAAGATTTACAGGCAAAAAAATAACAAGTTGACAAAAGAGGTAGGGTAGCGAAGATGGAGGAACTACAGGGGAACGTGGAGAAGACAGAGGTGGTGAAGATACCCAACCAATAACAGCATCAACAACAAGCACCAATCACCATCAACGAGAGAAATCCAAAGGAATTTGTCTCTTTCAGCTACTTACTTACCTACCTACCTACCTAGGCGGCATCGTTTCAACTACAGGCAGCACAGGCACAGATGAGGAAGTCGAAGCCAGGATAGGAAAGACAGCAAGACAAACCTTCATGTATTGATGTGAAATTATCAGTGTGGACATCTACTGCACTACACTGCATTGCACTCAGCATAAAGCCTGAACAAGATCTGGATTTTCAACACTAATGTTAGTCAAGGAAGTCAGTGCTTGTATGTGATGGTTGAGAGACTTGGCGCGTTACGGAAGCATTTCCAACAAACTACAGACATACATGAACAGCTGTCACCTACGACCACTCGATACTGAAGATCAGATCAGATGGCCAGGGAGAATAAGCGGTAACGAGGAATTCTGGTCTGGCATCGAACCAACGAAGCAAGAACCCATCACCCAACAAATATGCAGGAGAAAGTGAAGATGAACTGAATTTGGTATACACTGAGAGGACGGTATATGGACATCACGCGCTAGGTCAGGCGATAGAGTGGAACCGAAATGGGAAAGGAGTAGTTGTGTGTCCGAGTGTGATATGGGGGGAGATGTTGTGAGGAGGAAATGAAAGCTTGTGGGCGGTGGTGGAGTCAGGTTGGAAAGACTGAGGGAAGAGAGTGAGATGGGGAAGTGCTACCGAAGCCCTATGTTCCACTAGGAACCCAAGCGGCAAATAATAATATATACTTGTGCAGTGTTTGAGACGGATTTCCTATCTATACCCTGAGATTTCAAGATGGTCTTACACTATGCGGATGGATAATATTTTTAATGTTTTCACTGAGTGTTTACGACATGGAACGCCTTCTTCACAGTTGTGAACCGGAAAATCAAATGATTGACAATTTCTGAAAATATTTTCCTCGATCATAAGTAAAACTCAGAATCATTGTGTATTCTTAATGACTTAAAACGTTCGGTAGAGGTAATTGCAATTAGGTTCAGAGAGTCGTTCTCAACATATAACTAGGAGTTTGTTCAATTGATAATGTCACAACACCGATTGGTGGATAGCGATCACTGTAGCACTTTATATGCAGTTCTTCCTTGATCAAGCTAGGATAGAGAACGTTCACCAGATAAAATAGTTTATTAACTCACTTTCACTAGTTCTAGAGGAGATGACAGCTCTCATTTTCAGGTACTTTTACAATTCGTTGAAAACAGATTATTAATTGACACACGTAAACAGATAACAATCAATAAGAAAAGGCTAACAAATACTAGTGGCAACAAATTGATTCACAACTTACCCTAGAAGATAGTTCAAAATTGGAATAGACAATAACAGTTAATCAACAAATACATCCGTAATTGGGAATTTCCAGTTACGGATTCTAGCCCAGGAAATAACCAATCAAGGTTATTCACATAGTTATTGGTTACCTTATGTATCATTGACGTCGGTATACTGCACTGACACAAATATAAGTAGTAATCGAAAGGTGACCACCTTAAAATCTGTTGACTTCATAAGTGGTATTTACTCAGTATTGGATTACTGTATCATTACTTCGGTAATTGACTAATCGGCAAAATCAATGTAGTACTACGTACATAGGTGCGTTGGTTCAACTTCTCACATTTCACAGAAGTGGATAAAAAAAGAGTGATATCAAAGTAGACGGAGTTGTCTGAGAGAATAGACAATTTGAAGATATAGATTTGAAGATTTAAGTCTTATAGGATGTCAAGAAGTGAATCCATCTGTGTCACTGTTGACTGATTTTCAGCCATGTCACTAAGAGTTCTTAAACACTCGTTAATAACATCTCCGAGACCTCAACCAGGCAGTCTATATCTCCTCCTACGATCAGCAGTCAGGGACTTCATTGACTGGTGCCACATCTTGTTCTGATAAACCTGAATACTTTTCTAGCCTAATCCAACTTTCCTCACCAACCATGAGACATCGAGGCAGGCTTTGCTTACTCGGCATGCGCAGTACATGACCAAGCCATCTCAGTCGATTAAGGTTCATAACCTCATCGACTAACATACCTGACTTGCCTAGTACACTTCGCCTGACCTCAACATTGCCTATACGACGATTCCATCATAGACCAGCAATCCTACAAAGACATTTTATTCGGTAATACTGATAACTGTTCATTAGCTTATAAGAGTTACTCCAAGATTTCGAGTATATATTTGCTGAGGACTGCAAAACAAAATGGAATGTTAATAGGGAAACATATCTATTTTTGACTACACCAACTAAGTTCTCCAGTGTCTTACTTAAATGATTTTGGGGATCCTATTCAGAATATTCACAATTTCTTTTATAGTTGAAACCAGTCAACAGTAAGTATGCAGCTTGGTTTCTCTTCAACTTAGATTTTTAAAATCTACTAATTATTTAGCTTATAATCAGAAAGAATAATGTTTACACACTTCAATAATATACTGGTAAGCAATCTTGACATACCCTTCAATTTCATCTGGTATATTAGGATTTTTATCATCATCATCATCATCGTCTTCATCCTCATCATCTTCCTCCTCTTCATCATCATCGTCATCATCAGAACTTCCTGATTGAAATGTTCAGAAAATAAGACAGGTAGTAATTTATCTAATTAATTTTGACAGTCAAATAGATAAACGTAGATATTTATGCGAACATTAGGATTGGAGTGAAAAACAAACCAGCTTTTTCGTTATTAGAGAAGAAATAAATACTCACTAATTGTCTACACATGTAATCTCAATTGAATTCATAATAATTAAAGTCAGATTAAATGACTGACTGACTGATTAATATAAGGGAAAAGCTTGAGCACTTAGGTAGAGTACAATTTCATATTAGACTGTTTATTTGATATAGCACAGAGTGATACAGTATAATTTATTGCTCAACTTCCTTTATATAGTTCATCTATTCTTCATTTATTTATTTTAATGATACTAAAATTTCCCATATATCTGGAATATATGATGAGCTATTCATGTTACATGTATAAGGTGTTGGGTTCAATGAACAAAGATTCTGTGATCAATCTCTCTCTGCATCTAGATATATTGAATTTTAGAATTGTCATCCTATCTCATCTTATAGTGTGGTTAAGGATCAGTGGAGGCAGAGCGATAGTCGAGCTTACCATTGCACGTCTCGCTAGGTTGTTGTGTTCTACTATTCTAACTGACCCCGACCCATTGTTTCAGCTTGTATATTTTTGACCTTATAATCATTACATGGTTTTCTGTTAGATCAGGCTATTTTTCCTAGTTGGCTTTACTGGATCGTTTAGCCTACAATGTTTCACTTTGCTTTCTTTATATTGCAACACTGAAGATGATTTGAATTCCTTCGTAGGTATGTTGGAATCACCAGTAACATTATCACTCCTTATGTTAATGATGAATCGTGGCTAGCAGTGGAATCCAGGATGCGCATTTCGTTCCATTTGGGACTCACTGGTCAGCTGGATGTACCTGCCTCCCAGTAAGTGATGTTGTTCCCACCTGGGTTTCGACTCGGGAGCGATCGCTTCAAATGTCAGTGCGTTATCCACTACACCACCAAGCCACGATAGCCACTTCTTGTGCGACGGGTATAGGTTTTAGTATAAGGGTTTTTATATGATACCATCGTTGATACATCCAGCTGACGAGTCCCAAATAGGACAAAATGCGCATCCTGGATTCCACTGCTAGCCACGATCCATCATTAACATAATTAGATTGCTGGCGATATCGAGGCATTTACACAGGAGCCCATATGCTAATAGAGACCGATCAATTCGGTCCAATCAACGACGGTATCATATAAAAACCCTTATACTAATTATCACTCCTTGTCTTATCAGTCCTTATAAACTTTTAGTAAATTCCGGAGTGTAGTTACTAAGAAGTAGTGTGTCTTTGATATGTTTCAGTTCGTTATTTAAGCTTTCTAACTTGCTAGTCGAACTCCTAGGCCGATTACTTAGATATTTTATCAAGCCTACCTTGACAGATATAGGATGAAATGATGTGAAGTCCAAGTATCCATTCGAATGTGTTGGTTTCCTACAAACACTGGTATCTAAGCTTCCATCTTCTCTCCTATTGATTTTACAATCCAACATAGGTGGTAATTCTCCTTCTTCATTTTCTAATTCATAAGTGAATTTGATTGTATCTACCATCGAGTTAATACGTGCGGGAAAACTCTGGACGTGTTCTGATCTCAACACAGAAAATATGTCATCTACATACGTCACCATACTGTTGGGGTTGATTGAAATGTTCCTAATGCTATTTGTTCCAAACTGTCCATAAATGTATCTGCTAAGATCAGAGATATTGGAGATCCCATCACTACTCCTTGTGTTTCTTTATTTATTTTATCTCGAAATTTTAAATTTGTGGAGATTAAACACAATCTCTCCAATAGAAACTTTAGTTCTATTACAAAGTTCTTGGTCAGTTGATTTCTGTTTCAAGTGCTATATAATCTGGTATATTTTTATAGAGGCCTATCATATCACCATATCTCTTATTCACTTAGATTTGGATAGGGATGAGAAGTCCTGACTACAATCAGTGTGAATACGATCAAGCGGTAATAGCGCATCACGATATCACATGGTAGTCGGGCAAAGTCTTGGTGACTAAAGTGAAATAAAAATCTAGTCGGCAGTTGGACCTAGTAGGTCAGTTGACAGAGCACCAGGCTGGTAACCCGGAGGTCGCTAGTTTGAATCCGACTGCGGTCCAGATGTTCATCTCATCTTTAATCATCACCCAGTATAAATTATAAATAGTTTAAACATGAACGTACCTAAACCACTAACTTTTGCATGTTCGACTTCATTCCAATCATTGGTTTTTGCGCGGCCTAATAGTAGGTTAATAGTGAGAAACAAAATGATAAACACGACAAAGGAAAAAACACTAACCCCAGTGATGATGACTGAAATCAACACAATATTTTAAAAATGTCAAATTCTAGGCGTGCATAAAAAAAACACATTTTCGTATGTACATGGTATAGCTGCTTTAATATCGCAAAAGATAACTGGAAAAAAGGTATGACTATTACTTTCATAAGTACATCAGATACATTATAATTTGCCTAGCGACGGCTAGCAGTGAAACTTAGCACGCATGTTTCATTCTATTTGGAACTAGTAAGGTACATATACCTGCACCTCAGTGAGTGATAGTGTCTCCACTGGGACTTGGACCTAACATTCATTGATTTAAGCACTGAAGCGTTTTTTACTAGGCCAGTGGGGTACGATGGTCACTTCTTTTGCTACGAGTATCAATTATTATTTATTGATAGTTGAAATCACCTGTTATTATACTGAATGAAAGCGATCAGTCTCTGTTGGCATATGATGTTGTTTACAGGTGCCTCATTATCTCTTGATTATTCCTTATGCTGTAAATTGGGCAATGATGGATAGTGGCTAGCAGTGGAATCCAGGATGCGTATTTCATCCTATTTAGGTCTTATCAGATGGATGTACCTGCCTCCCAGTAAGTGATGTTGTTCTCACCGAGATTTGGACTCGAGAGTGATTGCATCAAATGCTACATCGTTATCCACTACACCACCAAGCTACTTCTTGTACAACGGGTATAGTTTTAGTATAATTGCTTGTATTATACCGTCGTTGATTGAACCGAACTGTTCAGTGGTCTCCTGTGTGGATGTCTTGATATTACCTATGTTCTAATAGCCTCTATCTATTAATACTATAATTAGAACACAGATAATATCGAGGCATGCACACAGGAGCCCATATACCAATAGAGACTAGTCGATTCGGTCCAGTCAACGACGGTATAATACAAGGAATCATATTAAGATATTTAAAGCAAAATGTGAAGTGAGTACCTCTTCACTGTTATGACCAGTGTTGTATATCATATTATTTAACGTTTACAATGATAGATTTTATACGCTTCACAGGTGATAACAGGCTTCAGAGTAAGAGACGTTTTATAACTTGATGAAATATCTTGTTCTAACCAATGTACACTTCCTAGCATAGTATATTTAGGTATGAATAAACGAACACATGGTGATATAAGTTATGCATTCTACCCATATAATGTACAACAAAACAGTATACTGATTATATCAGACAATTAATTTATATTTACATAGTGCAATAATAAGACAGAGGTTATCTAAGAAATGTGCAGTGTATTCACGCAATACATTTCGAACAATCTGATCATACATTAACTTGTCAAGGCATTTTATACAAAGGATGAAAATAGGGTGGAGTAAAATAAATAAATTAAGATAATACATGATTTGGAAAATATGTGGATAATAAGTAAGAATCATACACTTTCACACCTCTTCCCATTGGCATTAAAATGAGATAAAGATTACCAAGGAAGGTTTAAGGTAATGAATTCCATCTGGAGGATTTTTGTAGAGATTCATTAACTGATTTCAGATTGGAATTCATCATAAACTGACATCAGTTGGAGGAACATTGGAAACCTGGGAGCACTGGACAGTTAGCTGTTTTGTTCCAGTACGGCACTCCTCATCAGTGCGCGCCGATGACCCCTCAAGGGGTCAAACCCAGGATCAGTGTGTTACCGTTGAGCCACTGGGTTGTAAATCCAATGCATTACCCATTAGTGACTTGTTTCGAGATGAAATTTCTCAAAGCTCAGGGCCGGTGGGGAAAAACCAAGTTGAATGTGAGGACAAATTCTCAACGATAGCATTGAATGACAGCGGCACTATATGGCGAGCTGACAAAGGTGAGCCAGTGGATTCTGACTTAGTGGTCAGTGGTAAAGTACTCACCGCAAAGATGATGATCTTGGATTTCCTCCCTTATGGGTCATATATATAGGCGCGGCTAAGCAGTCCTATAATGGAACGAAAGAGCTCTCCAGTTCTCCCAGGTTTTCAGTGCTTCTCCAATAAATGTCAGTTCGTTATGACTACCAACTTGAGATCAATAAATCCCTAAAGACCTTCAAATTGAATGCAGATTTGTTGACTGTCCTGGCAAGTTGATAATCTGAGATTTTTGTTGACTATTTACAGCTACTAGATGATAAGTTAGTAAGCGGACTAGAAAATTCTATCTAAAGGATTAGCATATATAGGTATTATTTACACTTGCAATTTTCTTCAGTAATCTGGAATTCTATAAGTTGGAAACTATGCATCTTCAAACATCTAATATGATGATAAAGTTTTATAATCTTTGTCTAACTAACTAGAAGCATTTGACAAATAAGTATTATTCAGTATTAACATATTTTTGGTATTTATCAGTAAGACAATCAAAAAATCGGAGTAAATCTATCCTACTGTGTGATTTGAGGTTTTGTCTTAAATTTCTGCAGTTTAAGATATTTGAAAGGGTTTCAGAAACTATGGGTGCATGGTTATAATACCATTTGTTTTTCACGATAACGGACCAACAATGAAGACTAGGTCGAGCAATTCGATGCTCATTGCACAAGAGGTGACTCTCGTGTCTTAGTGACCCAGTGGACAATGCTTTGGTGTTTAAAGTGATGGGTACTGGTTTCAAGTCCATTCAGGGACACCATCACTTACTGAAGTTGAGGTATTTCCATCTTACGAGTTCCAAATCGAGAGAAAAGTGAGTCCGGCATTCTACTACTAGCCACCACTAAGTTAACTAAAGCATAATGCATATTCAGATGATATGGGCGAATCTGCATAGCAGCCCATATACCAGCGAAGGTCGATCAGTTTGATTCAAAATATTAACAAGAAATTGTTATTTTTATTTGCCTCTTGGGTTCCTAGTGGAACATAGGGCTTCGGTAGCACTTCCCCATCTCACTCTCTTCCCTCCAGTCTTTCCAACCTGACTCCACCACCGCCCACAAGCTTTCATTTCCTCCTCACAACATCTCCCCCCATATCACACTCGGACACACAACTACTCCTTTCCCATTTCGGTTCCACTCTATCGCCTGACCTAGCGCGTGATGTCCATATACCGTCCTCTCAGTGTATACCAAATCAGTTCATCTTCACTTTCTCCTGCATATTTGTTGGGTGATGGGTTCTTGCTTCGTTGGTTCGATGCCAGACCAGAATTCCTCGTTGCCGCTTATTCTCCCTGGCCATCTGATCTGATCTTCAGTATCGAGTGGTCGTAGGTGACAGCTGTTCATGTATGTCTGCAGTTTGTTGGAAATGCTTCCCATAACTCGCCAAGTTTCTCAAACATCATTTACAAGCATTAAGTTCCTTGCCTGAATTTGTGTTGAAAATCCAGATCTTGTTCAGGCTTTATTCTGAGTGCAATGCAGTGTAGTGCAGTAGATGTCCACACTGATAATTTCACATCAATGCATGAAGGTTTGTCTTGCTGTCTTTCCTATCCTGGCTTCGACTTCCTCATCTGTGCCTGTGCTGCCTGTAGTTGAAACGATGCTGTCTAGGTAGGTAGGTATGTAGGTAAGTAGCTGAAAGAGACAAATTCCTTTGGATTTCTCTCGTTGATGGTGATTGGTGCTTGTTGTTGATGCTGTTATTGGTTGGGTATCTTCACCACCTCTGTCTTCTCCACGTTCCCCTGTAGTTCCTCCATCTTCGCTACCCTACCTCTTTTGTCAACTTGTTATTTTTTGCCTGTAAATCTTCGAGTTTGTGCGACAAGATATTGGACATAAATCATCACCGTTAGCAAAATCCAAATCTTCTGGTGTCGTTTCATTGGTCAAACAGCGTATACCCATGTTCTTACAGCTTCTCATAGTTGTTTGTTGCATGATCAGTCCAGTACACGACAATCAACACAGTAAATTACAAGTATCAAAAAGTGAAAACTTGAAATGATCCAGTCATTTCAAGTATCCTCAGTCTTTGATCTTTAATTTCATATATTTTTCAAATGTTTCAGTGATTCATAATATATTATCTTCAATCAAACTGATTCATTTCAACACTATACTGATTGTCAAAATGACACGCATACAAATAAATCTCTTATTATCTATCTAAATAATATATATGTATAGATGATTGTGCAGCAATTGAGAATGAAACCATCACTAATTAAATTTTCTTTACTTGCAACTTCAAGTTCTGGAGTTGATAAACGAAATTACTGACCACAGCACATGAGATACACTTTCGAATTCTTGAAGAGGTACCAGTTTCTTTGGTTATTTAATAAAGATAACCCAGAGGATAGTCGCTATCCTAGCGTAGTGGTAAATCTTGCATATCACAATGACCCAAAGAGCTATGCTGGTGGAGAACTTGTTCCCTTGGCGTCCTACCATACCGATAGTGGTAAGACGAAAAGTAGTTACCGTTTCATTATAAACTACTACACTATATTGGGGAGTCTGCGCGCGAAGTCATACTTTTGCTATCCGGATGGAAGGTGACAGCAGTAAGGTGTCTCTCTTAGAAGGCCATTAGTGCCATACTGATGCTGACTTCTTAATGAAAAGGGAAGCTGTAAAAAATTGACCCCAAAACAGCACAGTCACCCTTACACCTCGGCCTTCCAGTATGACGATATAGGTTCTTTCTATCTAACGTTAGAACAACAAAACCTTAAAACAACATCCCGAAAAAGACAGTGTATGACAGGCTTCGAGCAGCTGTCTCTTGGGTACTGTAGTCATGCAAACCTCTTACTCCTTCGTCAACATTAAGAAGAAATAACCTTCAACGGTGTGAGCAGTCAAGAAGTGTCAACTGCCTGCAAACTTCCAGTAGTAAATGAGACCCAATCAAAAACAACTTATCCTCACCAACTCTATTTCCTCCTTCGCCTTCACTTCCTGATACCAATATTAAGCCTCTTACACTTTCCCCAACTTCTCATTCTGCAACCATCACCAATCATCAAAGTCATTGAAACCTCATTCCTCGTCTCCTAAGACCTCACCACTGACTCTATGTAGAAGCTTTCAATGTCAGAACTCTATGTCAAGTCGGACAGCATGCGTCGCTCCCCAGAACTCTAACCATGGATGTATGCTGTGTCTCTGTGTCACACATACACGAGTCGAGTGAGGTTGTTAAATTCACCTCACCTGGCCGTTGTAGTGAATCTCCAAAATTACCCTTACTAGTATCTATAGACCAGTGGCTAGCTTCGTCAACTCACTGGTGTAGGCATAGCATTGAGCTGTACAGCAAAAAGTAAGCTTCTCAACTGAATACCAGTAAACAGCAGCCTGTGTGCTGTCCGACCGAATGGATCTGTAAACACTAGGAAGGATTGTGAGACCAACCAATGCTTATTCGTAATCTCCACCACCAACATACAATAAATGCAGTTCGGGTGATACATAGGATGAATTATATGAGAAACTTTCAACTTTGCTACAAAAAACAAAACGTTCAAACGTAGTCATAACTGACATGTGACTAACATCAACGCTCAATTAGGGAAGCTGAGTCAATCACAAAGGCATCCTCAGAGTATTCACGGAATCGTATATCAACGAACCGACAACGGTGGTCGTCTGTTACAATTTCACTCTGACAATCACTTGTTTCTGGCCAACACTAACTTTAGGCATAAGGACAGACACTATCTCACGCGACATCCACCGACATCAAACCAACGATGGACACAAATGGATCATATTGCTATAAGCCATCGTTGGAAAGGATCGGTGGAGGATTGATGTTCTCTTCGGAGTACCAATTTGGACTTCGATCACGCTCTGGTACGGGTTCATGTAAGTCTGCACCCTCCTGGACACATGAAACAAATGATAGCAAAGCCTGTCTAAGGTGGAATGAAAGATATCGACTCCAAGTATGTATTTGGAGAAGAGTGAGTCAAACATTTATTTGAACGTGGCAGCAATGTTAATCCTGAATAGATCTGGTGTGATATTAAGTCTGCTGTAGAAATAGCGGTAAAGACGGTTGATAACCTGCACCTAAGGATTAAGAAAGATCATTAGATTTCCGAAACGTCATCCGAACTAACTGGTGGAAGAAAACTGATTCCAGCTGGCTCTGACCACGACAAAGAGAGTAAACAACTTGAATGTAAGTTGACCATGAGTCTCTTCAAGGATGATGAGCAGTGGTTATTGGAGAAAGCGAGAGAGATTGACAGGAAGCGGCGTAAATTGAAATCAACACTTTAAGTCACCAGCCAGTAAGGTGGAAATCTTGAATTTCCACCTTGTTTCACGCTACAATTTGATCACTAAAAACCTTATTGGACAATTTCGTCCAAAGCTGACCTATGAAAGAAAGCATCCAACTTCTGATCTAGTTGCTTTATATACTAAAGAAAACTGTATATAAATGATATGTTTTTTTTTCAAATAAAGTATCTTCCTTACAGTTACAGGCCGATCTTTTGCGGTTCAGTGAAGTATCAGGTCTGACGGGGAACAATCACTATTCGTAACCTGTTCAAGTGTCGTATCGGGTTATTATCGTTCTCGTATTTATTATTATTATTATTATTATTATTATTATTATTATTATTCTGTTAGTAACCCCACTTGTATTTATCATTTTAATGTGGAACTTGTGAATGCTGAGACTGAATGCGATACTAAGCGGTTAAAAACTCGTTTATACCAGTCTATAAGCATATCTTCCTTGATTTCTGTTTATCATACGCTTATGAAATAGACCAGCTTTATCCTGGTTAGATATCACAATCCTAACAGTACTCAACAATCATCGTAGTTACATATTTGTATAATGTGATATTTATCTCTTACTTAAAAATAAATCATATCATCTTATTTTGTGGTTAAGAGAAGAAAGGTGGATAGAACTTACTGATGTTAATTTCCCTGTCAACACATTGTCTATCTTTCTTAACAACCTGCTATCATCTGCTCGAGAATCTTATTATGAAAAGATAAATGAAAACAAAAGGATTATACAAGTATTTTACTAGAATGATATTTATCGTTTCATTTTACATAATGAAATATCTAAAACTGAAAACTCTTACACATCTGTACAATGTATTTAACAAAGTATTTTACAGAGAATAAAATCTGTTTTCAAGTAAAATTTCACTTCATTTTAGCATCTGAAATTAATCAACAGTATGCAAATATCGAAATATAACCAAATTTCACTTGGAATTTTCTTATCTCACAAAGTTTATATATTACTATTCACCTAATGAATTTAAACTTATTTTATTGACTACTTTGAAAAAATCCCGTACTCTGACGGACAAGATCTCATAGAGTATCAGCCATCATAATGCCAAAGTGTTGAAGATGGTTTCGACTTACGATTATCATCATTTGCACAATCAATAGCTACATAACCTTTGTAACTGACTTTACAGATATTCAGTGGATGAATGGCGCTATCAACCATTTCTGAGCCATGCTTCAAGTCCACCAATGTCTAACACACATTTTTAATTTTTTCGGGGGGGGGGGAGATGGAGGGTTCTCGATCTTATATAAAATACGAGCACCTTTACCGGCGACAACAACAAACACCAATCACCATCAACGGGAGAAACTTAAAGGAAGTAGCCTGTTTCACCTACCTAGGCAGCACTGTTTCAACTACAGGTGGCACAGACCAAGAAGTTAAAGCCAGGATCGGAAAAGCAAGACAGGAGTTCATTAACCTGAAACCAGTGTGGACATCTTCTGCACTGCACCGTACTGCACTCAACATAAAGGCGTGAACAACACCAATTCAGTCAAGTCAGTGCTGCTGTATGGTTCAGAGACTTGGCGTATCACGAAAAGCACTTGCAACAAACTACAGACATTCATTAACAACTGCCTACGCTCGATGCTGAAGATCAGATGGCCAGAAAGGAAAAGCAACAAGAAACGAAGCAAGAACTTATCACCCAACAAATATGCAGAAAGAAGTGGAGATGGATTGGGCAAACACTGAGAAGGTCGACTGGGGACATCATGCGCCAGGCCAGTTGGTCGAGTGGTAGCCAGATGGGAAACGACAAGTTAAGCGTCCGAGGTGTGGGTGACATAGAGGAGATCGTGTGAAGAAGAAATGAGAGCTTGTGGGCAGTCGTGGCACCAGTTTCAAAAGTTTTCAGAGAACAGTGGAATGGAGACGTGCCACTGAAGCCATATGTTCCACTAGGAACCCAAGGGACAAATAATAGAATAATAATACGTTTACCGGCATCTTCCGCAGATCGTAGGCTGAAGACAAGAAATAAGGTAATTGAATTGGTCTCTCGTCATCCATGAAAGTTCAAATTGTTAACATTCTTTATAACAATGCGGGCATTTTTGACCCAGGCATTGCCTTATCACATATATGACATAGGATGATAGCATTTAACTGTACACAGCTGTCGTATAACTCACATTGTTCCTTGGAAATATTCGTAATGTTTCTAGTTAAATAGCTCTCAAAATCAGAAATTGATGGTGGTTATTTTGAAGTGGAAGATTCAGATAAATGCCTTACAAGAGTAAAATTCACAGGGTTCATTCACCTGACGAGTCTTGAATGGAACGAAATACTCCTTCTGGATTCCACTACTAGCTACTTAGTAATTAAAACTTCATAGGCTTCATTTTGAAGAGATACCACTGGTGTGTTTTAAGATGAATTACAAATTAAAGAAGGAATAGGTATCTGTCACGTTTTGCTTTCGAACAGTTGTCTTATATCATCTTAAGATGATAAATTTTTGAAATTCATCACCATCATCAACACTTTAAATCACTGTACTGGTTGAATTTTATAGATTAAATAAGCATCAGCTTCAGTCTCTATTACAATTCTTTCATATTTTTGAACCAACTACGTTACCAACTCCATAATTGAAACAACAAATATGCACGTCTTTGTATCTCATCACTTTCATTTACCATTTGTTTCTTATTCTAATAAATCACACCATTTAAGATATTTGTTAAACTAGATATATGTGTATACCATAATAAATCAAAATCTCATGATATTAAGCTGACCCAATGAACAATTAATTTCCTCTACCGGAAGTAATTTCCTTCTAAAAGTTATTCTACAGCTGAACAACAAAATGCAATCTACCAGAAATAAATCAATATTAGTTACTGTTGTTATGATACAAAAGTCATCCATCTTCTTAATCCTGACGATGATATAATCAATTTGTCCATTGTGCATTTCATTTTTCCTTATTTTTCGATGTATTCTATGCGAATAACAGCTACAATTAATAAGTATGTTAAGAAGTGACAGACAGACATACATGAATAGCTACCGCCTACGTCCACTCGATACTGAAGATCAGATCAGATAGCCAGAAAGAATAAGTAGCAACAAGGGACTCTGGCCTGGCAATGAACCAACGAGAACCGATCACCCAACAGCTATGCAGAAGGGAGTTGAAATGGATTGGATTGTACATACACTGAGAAGACGGTTTAGAGACATCACGTACCAGGCCCTCGAGTAGAACCCGAATGGGAAACGATGAATTGGGCGTCCGAGTGTGACATAGAGGAGATGATGTGAGGAAGAAATGAAGGCTTGTGGGCAGTCGTGGAGTTAGGTTAGACTTCAGAGAACAGAGTGGATTGGCAATGTACTACCGAAGCCCTATGTTCCACTAGGAACCCAAGGGACAATTAATAATAAATTAACAAGTGAATTGAATGTAAACAAACAATAGGTTGATTTTTAACTTGCATACATAAAAATATTAACAAGCTATTTCAGTTTCGTATTTTACATCTCATTTGGAGCGTTCTCCCTAGTTCACTAATACACTGCATTTTTTGTCAATTCATTTCGGACAGACTGATTTACTTTCGAACAGAATCTGATAGAGGTTAATTGTGTTAACTGGATGGAGGCAGTCGACAAGCAGCGCTTCTCGACCTAGTCTTCATGTTGTTTAACTCTTGTTAGCAAGGCGTGTCTACAACCTCGACTTAACTAATGTCCCGCCTGAAGCTCGAAAACAAATCATCTAGTGCTGCAGCTGGAGACGTTAGCACTGAGCTATTCGGGCTACGATTGACTTTCTGCTGAACTGAATAAAGTAAACTGATTAATCGTTCTGTCAACCAGTACATTAATCTCTTTATAATCATCCATACTAACTACACAACACAAAGTTATTCTTCTCGAATGTCAAATTCCTGAAGTATGACAAGTATGGTGAAAAATGATTACTAAATTCAAGGATTTCATACCACTCATTTCTAAAGAATACCCGCAAAAAATAACCTTCTATTTTGAACATTTGAGTGCGATCCATTACACCTTGCAAAACTTTAATAACACAATTCAGATTACTTTCACAAAACTTTTGAGAACTTCTTAGGCTAAATATTGTGAAAATTTATTGACGAAGGATGGTACTCTTTAGAAAACCAGACAGTTATAGTTTCTATTCTACGGTTAAAAGATTTCATGTTGTATGAATTCAGAAAACCCTACATTTTCAAGCTAATAAACAACTAGTTAACCATTTCGTTTCAGTGAACCAATCGTTTATTTTTTACCACAGATTTTTGCGGCAAATACCAGTTTTTATTTTTCTCACAGCTCATTTTGAAGGTATCTGTTACAATATAGTGAGGTTATATTTAGTAGTAAAAATGAAATTTAATTCAATAGCATTCCTCTTAAATATTACCTTGGGGTCTATCATGGTTCTCAGCTAACGACTGTTGTAGACGTGGTGTAGCTATATCCTCGGATTCCAGTACTTCAACCATTTCGTCATATGGTTTATCCATATATCTGTAAACTAAGAGAAAAAAATGCTTTTCATAATGATATTTTATAGTTTATTTCCTCATTGATTGAAATTGAACCTGGAAAGTATATCAATATACTTTCACAAATCAGAGAAACATCAGATAATTCAGTTAAGAAATAACAGCTAGCTGATTGCCAACACTTAGATATTCGTCTTTGGTAACCTCAAAAACGGATGGATATGGGTCAACAGGTTAGTGGCAATAGATTTATTGTCTTAAAAGAAGTATTTATTTTTGTTGTCTGATGCTTGTATTCTCCATTTCAGGTTTTCAGATTTGTTTTTTGAGAATAAAAGGCTGTAAGCCCATATTAATCCCGTACCAGTAGGTTTCTGTGCTTGTACAATCCCCTGTTGAACAAGTTGATTGGTGATGCGGACACCACTTCTTCTGAGAGTCGGTTCCATGCGTTGATTACTCGACGCGAGAACCAGTACTCTTTGGAGGCTGTGTTCGTTCTTTGCTTTTGTAGCATCGCACTATGTCCTCTGAAATGTTCCGGCTTAGTGGGTAATAAAAGTGAAGATAGATCAGGTTTGAAGTCATTAATGGCTTGGAATCCGGTATGGCATGATTAGATAACCCCTCTGTCTGCGATGAGATAAAGTGAAGAGGTTCAACTCCTTAAGTCGATCTTCATAAGTGAGGCCAGCCATCGCAGGGATCATATGAGTGGCTGCCCCCCGAGCTCTTTTTAGAAGGTCTGCATCACCTTTCAGATGAGGATTTGTCGCCTGTGTACAGTTTTCTAATTTAGACCTAACTATGGATGTGTATGAGATGGTGAACACATCACTACTTATTTTTGTAAACGTTCTACGTAATGTCCAGTGTCTTAAAAATCCGAGCTGCTACCAATCGAAAGTGTGCTATGGTTTCCAAGTCATGAATCACTGTGACTCCTAAATCATTGTCGGTGAGTTCTGCAAATCTGGACCTATTAGCTATAGCTAGTTGAATATATTTAATCCGACTTACGTTCTTCACATGCAGCTGTCCTACACGCACGATTTAGCGTGAAAGATGAATGTGTAAATGTTAGTGAAAATCTACCAGACAAGAAGATATCTTCTGTTTGTTTAGATAGTAACCGGCAACATGTCCCGAGTCAGTATATGTAACACTTGTGCAAGCTAGTGAGTCAAGTAGATCGAGAGATGAAACTTCTCTTACTATAGTTCTTCGATAGGCTGAAAGCAAAATCTTCAAAATCAGGGCTATCCCAGTCTCGTTAAGACTGGCGATCCAAGACTGGAAACCAACCAAGTTCGTCGTCACCCTCGCAGAAATATGCGACCAGGCCTTTTCCCTCACCCAGCACACTCAAATTTGTATGTACAACAATGTCAGAAGGAGAAGAAGGAAATTAGTAGAGATGACAGCTCTCCATAAGCAATCGCACAAAGATGTTACACTTGTAGCAGGATGTTAGATCTATCCATACGTTTCTAACAGAGAGATGCATGCCTCGGAAATGGAACTTTCTCATTGAAATAGAGAACTCAGACTGAGATGGAGGTGGTCTTTACGTAAGCTTTCATTTACAAACAAGTATGGTCAGTGACGTGGCTCTCACCCAACTCCCCGACTAACGTCAACACGTCGCGCCTAGACTACGTTCTAACGGAAGCTGACCTCATTTAGAACACATCTGTCCATCCGTCTCTTGGCCTCGAAGATCATGCAGCAGTAACTCTGTCGGTGATAAATGAAGAGGTCCTACAACCGGAGACATGGAACATTTTCTCTTGTTACAGCAAGACCAACTATGAAACCATGAGAGATTATCTGATTAGTGCATCATGGCTTGAAGCCTGGAATCAACTCACAAGAGACGAAGACTGGACACAGCTGAAGGAAATAATCCTCGGAGCTATGCCAGTAAAAAAGTGTAGTGGTTCAAAAAAATGGCTAGTGCAGTATAGGAGTCCATAGCGACGGGTTTAGCTGTTAGATAATACTGGCGAAGAGGTTACAAAGTAACCCAAAAGACCTGTGCCACTTCATGTTATAAAGGAAGTCAACTAGCAAAGGCTTGAATCTGATAACGAGTCCCAATTGAAATTTGTTGGGCATTTCATAGACAGCTGAGGTTCATAACCCAAGCTTTGAAGTGCAGTTTGGTGCTTTTAACAAGAAATCTGCCCCAGTGTGAAACGAAACTGATCAGACCGTAAATAAGGAGCACTTTTGCCATATCCTCAACACATATGAAAGAGTATCGAAAAAGCTATTCAGTCTTCTTCTAGGCAAGTCCCCTGGCTTTGACGTGAGACTAGTAGTCCCATAAAGCTACACTGGGTTACTCGTGAAACCAATCTGAGATCTCTTCAAGCACTCGCAAGAGCCATACACGATGTTTTTAAGTCTATAAAGAACTCCTTGTCCTTCCATAAGCCCGTAGCTTCCTAAGAGACTCAACCTAGAAGCTGCAAATACATAATCACAATAATCAATAACCTCATCAGCGTTAAAAGTAAGAAACCAGAAAGGGATTCCTTGGCTACTTTAGAATCAAAATTGAACTACAAGAATCAAGCCCCAAGAACTAGTAACGAGAGATCAAAAACTATCAGTTTTCTACACTTGCACTCTTAATATTGAATGGTGTTGAAGAAATACAAAGGAATAAAATAATCAAACCTCAAGAACTAGAAACAAAAATTCAGAAACTTTATGTCTATTATACTCCATAAACTACTGTTTGATGTAAAATTCATCTTTATATCCTGAACAAGGATGATGCACTCAGTACAAATAGGCAAAACAGGCGCACTTTTGAGTGCGTAGGAACTAGACCGAAAAACTATGGACAGAGTATGTAAATTTGGCCAGTATCCTCAAATTTTCTCAGAGTAATTCAGCATACATAAAGACTATTCTTTAACTGAAAACCCAAGGTGTGTGTATATTGCTTATCAACTAAACAGGAGACAAATCCTCATCTGAAAGGTGATGCAGACCTTCTAAAAAGAGCTCGGGGGCAGCCACTCATATGATCCCTGCGATGGCTGGCCTCACTTATGAAGATCGACTTAAGGAGTTGAACCTCTTCACTTTATCTCATCGCAGACAGAGGGGTTATCTAATCATGCCATACCGGATTCCAAGCCATTAATGACTTCAAACCTGATCTATCTTCACTTTTATTACCCACTAAGCCGGAACATTTCAGAGGACATAGTGCGATGCTACAAAAGCAAAGAACGAACACAGCCTCCAAAGAGTACTGGTTCTCGCGTCGAGTAATCAACGCATGGAACCGACTCTCAGAAGAAGTGGTGTCCGCATCACCAATCAACTTGTTCAACAGGGGATTGTACAAGCACAGAAACTTACTGGTACGGGATTAATATGGGCTTACAGCCTTTTATCCTCAAACAACAAATCCGAATCATAGCAAGTTCTAGGACTCTGTGTACAATTGTACCCAGTGAAGCTTGAACATCAAATCAGGAAGCAATGAAAAAACAGGAAATGATCAACATTCTTCATTCTCACTTCAAGGCTTTGGCAAAAGATGGAAGTAACCGTTATCGCAATTTTTTAATGAAATGTAAAACTTTTGAAATGTTTGCTGCTGATATGGTCATGGCAACAACTTGTCCTATTTTCAATGTCTTCTTTCCCAATATCCAATGTCTTTCTAACGAGCTTGTGTAGACCAGTTGATTTCTTCCTTCTCGCTTCTTAGTCTTGCGGAGTGGTTCCAGATTTTTGGCGGATTCCGATGCAGTAGATCCAGCCACTCGTCTGCTATGGCTCTGATTTTCAGAACAGGGAGGTAAGTGTTGGTTTGTTTGCCTTGGACTGTGGTGCAGTTGGCTTCTTCAGATGTCTAGTTGTCTGACAGTTGTTAGGAATCGTCGTTAGGGAGGGTTATAGATAATGAAGAGAAAACCTAGAAGGTGTTTGTGTGAGTAAAAGAGAGGAGAAATGAACTAATAGAGCAATTACTTACACCCAAGTAAGGTGAGTAGGGGTGCAAAGGTATGAAGAACTTAGGTAAGTGAGGCTAACTTATGGCAAGTAGAAGGGGTGAAAAAGGCTTAAATGAATGCAATAGAGAGAAAACGGGTTGGGGTGGCTTGACATCACTTCGTGTGTGGGTAGACCATGAGTCTCTGCATGACTGTCTAGCCTCTTCTTGAAGCTTTCAACAGTTGGGGCGGGGACCACCTCTGCTGGTAGTGTGTTCCAGTGCCCACAGACTAGGAGGGAGAAGAAGTGTGAACGCACATGCACTTTTGACCTCTGGTGTGCTATTCTATTGGGGTTTCCTCGAGGATCTCCTTAGTGGCCACTCGGTAGGACTCCTCTGTTTGGTAGACTTAGGTTACTCATCATTTTGTAAGCCATTATTAAGTCGCCACGTATCCTTCGACAGCTTAGGGAGTATAGGTCTAGGTCTTTGAGTCTTTCCTCATATGGTTTTCGTTGCATTCCAACAACCCCTTTTGTGGCTCGCCCCTGAACTTTCTCCAGTAGGTTATTGCCACTTTTCAGCTGTGGTGGAGCGAAGACGTTGTGGACCTATAGTGGGGCCGTACATAAGTCCTGTAGAGCTTCGGAAAGAGCTCTGAAGCGAGGGCATCCAGTCGTCTATGCACAGAGTTTAGTACCCCACATGCTTTTGAGACACCACCTGGGTAATTGGAACAGGTGTCCAGTTTCTCCGTCACCGTTAAACCCAGGTCTTTTTCTACTGTGTTATGGGATAGATGTGAACCACAGAGATAGTAGGATGTTTTCTGGATATCAGGAGTGAGGAAGAACGTGGACCGGCACTTATGCAGGTTAAATGCCAGTTTGCTACTATTTCCCCACTCCTCTGGTGTTTTGAGGCGCTTCTGTAATGCCATAGATTCCTCTTCGCAAGTCATTGCCCTGCTTTAAATGACTGATATCTCAGTGACTAAATTTTTTTACAGGTTGCGTGATTTTTCCAAGAACTGAGATCCAAATTCCTTCCCTGA